TATTCAATGTCAAATTAACTTGGCTAAACTTACTCCATAACGCGCAATGGACGATTTTGATTTTCAAGTCGCATGCGTACTGCTTTGTAAACCTCAGTCATGACGCGACCCGGCACCTGCACGACCTTTGCGGTGTCCATATCTTCGTCGTCCGACTTAAATGTGACAAACACCTTTTCTGAGCCGTGCAGAAAGGTAACGTCCATGTTCTCCGGTGGAATTTTCACCTCTAAGAAGAGCTCCTTTATGCGTCGTGTGTATAATTCGCCCATGTAGCGGGGCTCATAGTGGGTGAAGAAGACGGTGCGACATGGGTCATTGCCACAAATAGATTGAAACAAACTGCGATCGTAGTCTGCATTTGATTTGTTGCTACGCATAAAATAATTGGGATAGAAAGCGCCGGCAATGATAACCTTAAGAATTATGGACTTTTCGCGATCATCCCACATCTGGCAGGTTCCATAGGGTAAGGGCTGCAAATTAACAGATGCACAACGCTGACGCAATTCCTGCACCATCAAATGCATCTCCTTGAGCGAGCGCAAATTAACGTTAAAGCGTCTGGCCCATTGTTCTGCTGACTCCTTAAGCATTCGATCCTGGCACATGTTCAAATAGATCTGGAACAAACCAACATATATAGAATATACTTAAGCTTCCTCACATGTGTTGCTTACCCTATACACACGCCAAATGGCAACCATATCGGACCCGGAACCATCAGCAAAGATGTAGTGCATCCAAAAGGCATCATTCACTTGCCTACGTTTTCCTGTCAGGTACAAGCTGCGCACAGTCATGCCAGCAGCTATAAGATAATTTCTTAAATAGTCTCTGTTCACTGTCTGGGTTTATCATTTACCTATAACAATGACCTCCTCCAGGCAATTGAAGACATAGCCCAGTATGATAAGGCGACTTAGACGAACGTCCAGCGGAAACCGTGACATGATTGTACCCCAGTAGGTAAGATCGCCATCAAGCTCCTCGTAAACGCCATCAACTGTAGTGTACAAGGCTCCTACCTCCTTTAGCAGCAACACTGTGTTCTGTATGTCTGAAAGATTTGGCGGTGACATGGCTAGCGCTAGAATTTCACTAGGTCTTCCCATTTCAAGCTCTTTGGCTTTGAGCACCGAGTTCTGAAGCGGCGAGCGCAGCATCTCGGGTATACCAAACTCTTTCATCTCCTCCAAATAAAAGGCTTTAGAGACCATGCGGTAAACTCGTCCGCTTCGCAGGCGACCAACGCGTCCAGCACGTTGACGACAATTAACCTTGGAAGCCCATTCCAAACGTAGGCAGCTGTAATTGGTTGCCGTATCGGTGTGCAGAACCTTTGTGAGGCAAAAATCAATTACATAGGAGACATCCGGCACAGTTATGGAGCTCTCCGCAATGTTGGTTGTCAGTATGATCTTGCGATGGCCAGGCAATGGGGGCTGAAAGACTTCCTCCTGCGAATCGGGCGACATCAACGAATGACAGCGCACAATGGTGATTATCATGGTGGGACTGTACGGAAACAAAAATAGATTAACAGCAACTTATTACATTTTAAATCGAACTTGAATGATATAAATGAATGGAATCTGACGAGAAATCGAACTTAAGGAATTATACATATATTATACAGGATGCAAATCCGGTCTAGATCTATAATTATATATAATGCTATTTTACTTGGATATTCTCTATTTTACTAGTATATTTTTTCTTGTCGATTTATTTAATTAAAGTCCGCACAAGTTTTGGTTGACTTACTTCTCTTCCATGACGCTGGTTATATGATCCGCCATTGTGTCAATTTCATTAATGCCCGGCAAAAAGATGAGCACGGAACCGGTACGTTTAGCTTCTTCATAGGACTGTAGGGATTGGCCGACTGCCTTGCGTTCCATATTATCTATAACCAAAAGAATTTTGATGGCGTCAGCATAGCCCTCAGGTCCGATGCCCGGTGCTCTCTCCTGCGGCTCATCCTTCCAGTGAATATTTTTCAGCTGGTCGCGATAGTATTTGACCAGCGGATATTTGCGTCCATGGCTGGCGGTAACCACCGGCGGAAAGGCTGAACTGGTGGCAAAATATTTGGAAAATTCGCGCGTATCAATTGTGGCCGACATCAAGATGACTTTAACGTGGCGAGAATTTAACGCGAGCAGACGCCGCACTACAATCAGCAAGAAGTCCATGTCCTGATCACGCTCGTGCACCTCATCCAGGACAATGTGCGTATAATGCGTGAGCGTCTTCAGGCGTATGAGATTGTTAAGCAAAACGCCTGTGGTGCAGTACAATAGACGCGTGTCCTCCACATTTGATTGTCGATGTAGACCAACCTGATAGCTGCAAACAGTGCCCGGTTGCCACTGTCTCTCCTGGCAAACACGATTGGCAATCGAAATAGCAGCAATGCGGCGCGGTTGCGTGACGACAATATTACAAAATTCGCGCCGTTTACATGCCTCATCCAAAATATATTGCGGCACCTGGCGGGGAAAATGTGTAACAAAATAATCGATAATAGCTTAGAGAGTTAAAACGATAGTTCGCTCAGATGGCAACGCTGTCTGCTGCAATAGTAAACAAATTATAATGTGCAAGCACAATAGAAACTAAACAAGACAAGATCTAATAATTAACGTTGAATGGAACAAAATGTTTATGACGATTGCTGGCAGCTGCTTCAGCGTTTTGGACGTGCTGCCGAAATATCTAAGGAAGCCAAATTTGAACTGTTTTGTCAGACATGGCACGAGTTGCAAATGCAACACATCTACTCAGCGCAAACCAACCACATCGAGGTTATTGAGACAACCATGGCGGCGCTGCACGTGGCCAAACGTGTGGCATGTGGTCGCCGAACCAACGGTGAACCATTCCAGGCGACTCGTGCCCAACGCATTGGCGCCATCTACTTGCTGTATGCCATCTACAACAAGCAGCCCACCAAGTGCTTTGTCAAGATTGAGGTGTCACCTCGCACTTGGCAATCTTTGACCGGCTATGTGGAGCAACTACGCCTTAACAGCGCCGAGCAACGCGACACCCAGCAAGTGAGCTACATATTCTGGCAATTGGTCCAAGACAATGCGTTTCGCTTCACGGCTCTAGATTACTGTCAGGCGCTGGATGCGTTGGCCGCTTACGACAGCTTGGAGAGCTTTGCAGAAGCCAAACAGCAGAAGAGTAGCACAACTGCGCTTTTGCAACAGCGGCGGAAACCAAGCGGCTGCAATCTTGGCGAGGAGCTGCATGGCCTAGCCGAGCTGGTCGCCAACTGCAAGCCGCTCTGCCAGCTTGAGGCAGCATACAACAAGCAGATGGAGCCGCACCGTTCATCTTTTCCTGCAACAAACATTTTCACCCAGCTGCAAAGTGTTTTCTATGAGATCAACGATCTATTAGCGGACAAGGAGCCTACGACCTCATCAGGGACACTTGACCAGATGGAATTGAGAAAACGTGCCCGCCAGAAGGCAATGTTTGGCGAAGTGAAAGAAAAACTGCCAACAGAAGAGGTAGCTGAGCAGCCGATGTCTGAAACACGGGATCCACACGAGCGACGCATGTCCTCAGCGACGGTCTTTGGGCGCAAGCTTCCAGATGATGTGATTAGAGATTTGGAAAGCTAACTGTAAACTAATTCTATGGACCAGGTCTGAACATTAAATTTAACTGTAAATGTAAATGAGCGTAGTTCGTATTAGAAAATAGAAAGTTCTTAAACTAATCTTAGTTTTAGTTCTTTAATAATACTTAATATGTCATCTATGTATCAGCTGTTATGCTTCAAAGTAAAACTTAGGGACACAACTTAAAGAAAACTACAATCAAGAGTTAAATGAAAAAGCTTAGGCACGTAGAATCCTCCACAAAAGGATTAGATAGGATCGTTCAGCTCAAAGTGATCCCAAGTTTATATATCATTTGTAAACTAGTTATTTTGAACGAGCTAATATTTCCCTCCAGCTGGTAATTGTGAAATACAAAACGAGCGATTGGGCAGGCTATATATATATATATATATATATATGTATGCATGGATGTATAGATGGAGTACTGAGGATAAGTACATACCTGTGTAGTCTTACCACAGCCTGTTTCGCCCTTCAATATGACAACGGGATTTTCTCTGATGGCTTTCATAATCTGTTCACGCTGCGCGTAGATTGGCAGATTTTTGTTGCGATTTAAATCGAATCGGTATTTCTCATAATATGCTTCATCTGAGCGCACGCTGGGCTGCTCTTGCATATTCTCCTCCTCATCATCGCTGTCCAATTCATCGAGCGTTCGATTACGTTTCGCCACACTTTGACCATCGACGAGCTAAGTATTAAGGAAATAAACAAAACGAAGATCCAATGACAATCTTCCCTCTCTATCACACACACACGTGCATGTGAAGCCGCAGTACTATATCATGCTTACTTTGTTCATGAGCTGCTTTTCTTTTTCTACGATTTCGTTCACATAATCTGTGCCGATTTTCTCGCGCTTGATTGGCTTGGAGTCCCTACTCTCAGTTGTGAGGGCATTCGGGTCACCAGTTATACACCCTTTCAGTGCTGTGCCCCGCTTGAACTGCTTCGAAAAATCGAAAAAGTCCATCAGATCCGAATCCATTTTATAGGCAATGCACAGCAATCACTTTTAAGAATGAAATTGCTGACTATACTAAAGGCTACGAACGATGCCAGCGCGCGACAGAGATTAAACGGTAAATAAAGTTTTTTGAAGCTGGCAATACTTTTGTTCGCATTTACCAACACATTTAGTATAAATGATACATAACACGGTTTGAATAAGTTAATATATATTAATAATTGATCATTGGTTTTAAATTATTTTCTAAATGCCCTAAGCATTGACAATAATAATTTGTACGTTAATAATATACCGATAAATAACGATAATTTTTCTTATTGAGTTTGACTGTCGATATCGATATTTACATGATAAGTATTTTTACGAAAAAGGTTTCAGTATCGATGCTTTAACACACTGCTGCTGACGTTTGACAGTACAACTACACGAAACATAAAACAAAAAATTTTACGAGTAAGAGCATAAAACATATAATACTTGGATCAAAATTGTTTAAATAAAGGAGCTGCCCAAAAGGAGCACAAAAATGACACGTAAGTAGGCAGATGGTTAACTTCGTTCTTCATTTCTTTGTTTCCGTTTTTTGTTTATTGTGCATTTTGTGGGTATATCAAACATTTGTATGTAGATTTTTAAATAATTACCAAGCTGCAAATTTAGTTTTATGATTTGATTACCTTAATATTGGCGCATGTCTATCGATTTAAAGACTTGTGACTAATCGTATATATATGTACTATATAAATACATATGCATATGAGTACATGCATAGCGTGTATGCTTCTAACCTCTCTACCTAAACTAGAACAAATTAGCACGCGTAACTAGGCGGAAAGTCTGTGATCATTTTTAGATATACAGTGATTGTAATTCAGATAATAATTCTTTGTCGATCTTCAGGTGGCAATCAACGAGACTTGGCGCGCGCCAAAAACCAAAAGAAGTTGGCTGAACAAACCAAAGGCAAGCGCACAGATAGCCTCACGGTAGAACAACGCAAAGCCCGGTAAGTGGGAAGCTGCCTTAGAGGCTGTACGATCGTCTACAATACAATACAATACTTTTTAGGGACGCTGAACTAATGCGAGAGAAGCAAAAGAAAAAAGAGGAGGACGCAGCGGCTGCTGCTGCTGCTGCTGCTTCTGGCAAGAGCAAATAAAAACGTTAATTCCAGTACCAGCTAGAACAGCGTGCATCCGTGCAATCTTTGTAGGTCACACAAAATTTTCGTTAGGCATAGTCAGTTTTAAAACAAAACAAAGCAAAGCAAAAGCAGCAGTCGCAATCCGGAGGCACCGATCGAGGCCAGCGATCGACTCCAGGATAGTCAATGTCAAATCAAATTGGTTAAATTGCGCAAAAAAGTGAATTACAAGCTACAAAGCAGACGTATATCAATAACTACGCATCCCTAGAGAGGACACACACAAAGAAGGGCTCGTTTTCTTTAATGTTACGCTATACTGCTAAACAATTAACTATCTTAATTATTTCTCTATATACCTGACTAAATTATTTACTGTAAAATATATACATTTTCAAATAAAACATAATATACAGCCAAAATAACCAATCCATTGCTAAATATTATGTCTTATTATTTATTTCGAAAATATATATAGTATGCATAGTATATTTGTTAGTCGAGTGATAAAGACAGATTGAATTTCCATACTAATTTAAACAACCTGATCCTATATGTACCTCCGTATACCTTGTTAAGCGCGTACTTGTCTTGTTAAGCTTCACTTAAGACTGTCAACGATAAGAGAGTACTTAAGTTTTTATATTATGAATCCACGTAAAGCTTAAAAATAATTAATTAGGTATAATATTGTATGGAATAAATCGGTAAGAATGTAAGACTTTTAAAGCTGCATAGTGGGCCTCCGCCTCTGTATAACATGAGACATACTTATCTTTTGTGAGAAAATGGTGTTAATGCAAATTAGGTCTTCTGTTGTACATGTTGAAATATGCAAAACTTAGAATACATAACTGGTGTCCACGGATAAAAAAACAGTTCTCTGGCTGAGACTATATTCGTTTAGCTATCGTACAACCGCAACAAAAGAAAGTTGACCTTTTGATTTGATAATTTTGATTAAGCGCAACAAATTATTATGTTAAATCTTTAATTTAATCTTAAAGCAGAAAAGAAAAGAGAAATATAACTCTATTTTCAGTTTTATTTCACAATGATGCAAACAAGAAAGTAAATACATATATCTTAGGTAGCCCATTTTTAAAAATCCTCGACATCAAATTAATTAAACGAGTCATGGGGATGCTCGAGTATATTGTAGTTTCCTATTAGGCAATATAAACTAATGAATTGATATGGAGATACTAGCTTAACTTCGCTTAAAATTGAGAATAATTCTCATAAAAAGTGAACGCGTTAGAATTCAATTTTATTACGTATATTGAGTTGACTTCTATTGTATATAACCACTTAGAGTTTTGCTTTGCAGACGCTTCCTTTTGATAGCTTGAACATTGCTACCCGTTTGTAGGCATTTCATTGGTATAGGGTATAAAGAAAAGAAAAAGAGAATTGCTATCGATGCGCTCCAGTGAACTTCCCAGGAGATTTTATTTTGCGACATGAAGCTAAGCACAAATTTACATACAATTGATCATTTTTAGGTCAAGCAATAAAGAGTAGGTATTCTCCCAAAGGCGAAGACTGAATACTCTTGTAAAAATAACATTTTTATCAAATGTGAAATATATTTATTTCCATTTTTACAGATTGTGAATATGCCCGACATATGTATAGTTTGTACTGAAAGGGGTTTGCCTCAACACGAAGAGGGCCATATCTATTTTTAGCATGTTGTTCTGATCAAGAAATATTCAGTCTTAATTAACTTAGTAGAAGGTGTTGGCTTAGCAACAAACAAAGTGTACCGACCTATGAATAGAAATATAGAAATGGAAGGAAAGTAGTTAACTGCCCACAAACTCTCGCCGATGGCAAAGGAAACAAACTGCCAATAAGTTGAATCTAGGCATTTACCATTTGTACACGTACATAGGTGAAATGGCCAAAAACAAATGTAGAAACCACTAACTGGCAAGCAGACCACTAACCAAAAATGGTCGACTGCCGAGCGTGTTGGCATCATATCTATGGCTCGTATCTTAAATGACTAGTCTTCGTACGGATGCCTGGCATACGGATGCCGGGACGGAGAGTGGGGCTGCAGTCGGTACAGGATGGCGTGCGAGACGCTCATGTGCAGCAGACTTCTTAGAAATCCAGTGACAAGAACAACAACTATGAACGGCGGCCCAGGTAATGAGCGACTTTTAATGATTTGTTGGAACTTCTAGTGCAAAACGTTGTAACTGATACCGTGGAACAAACAAAGGTTCAATGTTAAGTTTTTGGTTTTCTGTTTAATAATGTTATGGAAGAGACGCGCGCATGGAAAAACAAAAAGCAATATCAATAACAGGTTTTTAGATTTACAAGCTCCCAACGCAGAGAAAGCTTCTCAACGAAAGCTTGAGCAATAGCTAGCAACCTTTAGTTTTAGAACTTTTCTACGCCACAGAAAAAACTTAATCAACGCAGCGGTCCGCGTCGCAGCAGCCAACATTGAGAGCGACTCCCGTTGCTGTCAATCGCCTCTCTATGCGACTCTCATGAGCAGCGCGCGGTTTCAGTCGCTACGTGAAACTCGCCGCAACCACAACAGAAACGCGCGTAAAAACCGAGCCAAACGCCGTGTTAAAATAAAAACAAGGCAGGCATATGATCAAATAAAAATATTCGGAATATAAGAAAATAATTAATTGTCATTAATTGTGTGTGCAAATAGGCTTTCAATAAAAAGTAAAGTGCGCGCAAAAGTAGAAAGTGTAAGTGAAATTAAAATTGGCATTCTGCCGACACATTTGGCAGCATTTAATGCGGATGGATAATGCTAATGCAAATGCCAAGTGTCTGACATTATCAGCAGCCAATTGGCAAGCGATGCAAGCAATGCAACTGCCATTTCATAGTGTATATAGTCTATGCGTTCGTGCCTGGGCACTGGTCATTGGGCAGCTTGATCGATCGATTGATTGCTAAATGCAAATCAAGTGATAAACGATCGCCACGAAATTGAAATAACAGGCGTACAGCTTTCAGTTGGTGGGGGACCCGAGCTACCCGAGTTCCTAGTCCCAATACCCAGCTGTTTGAGTCTAAGGCGATCGTCTGCCGTTGACGATCGCAAGTCGCAGTCGCAGACGTAGTCGTGTTTTTCTTTTTATTATTTATACAAAATATATTCAATTTCATTTAGCTGTCGTTGTCGTTAAAGTTGTCTGTATGGTTATTGTTGTTGTTTTCGTCGTCGACAGCAATTTCAATATTCAAATGATCCAATGATCACTTGACTTCGACTTCGACACGATCGCGTTTCAAAGCTCAGCAATTTCTGAGCGCCTGCAACAGCAACCCGACAAATTATAATTAATACGCTGAGCAAAACAAACAAAACAGCCACAATTAAATGTTATTACTAATAATATCCACTAATTGTTTTGACTCCCGTTTGGGTTCTGATCGTGCAATTGCGTCTGACCCAATTGGTTGACGGCATTGATGAAAAATTATGCGCACAACAAAAGTTTGTTTGTTTATTTTTTTTTTTTTTTTGAAAATTTATTTTTGCTTTTGCAACTGTGCTCTATATAGACATGGGTACACATACATGTGTATGTGTGCATATACTATATAAAGTTCGATATGTATTTCCTTTGCTCTGAGCTCAACTGTGCTCTGCTGCAGTGCCCGACATGATGTCAGCTCCATCTCCCACTGCTCGAGAACGTGTTGACATTGAATTTAGCAACGACAACCTGTAATGCTGAAATTTATATTTGGGCATGCGAGTTGAAAACGTCTCTGGACCTCAAGATCTCCCTTTAAAATAAGTACGCATATATGAAGAAACAAAAATACTAAAGCCTTGCAAATGATGCAAGTCATAACATGTGGAAATTGTTTAAAAAAGTATTCTGTGCATAAATTAGTATTTTTGGCAAACGTTTTGAGCCACTTTTTAGATATGCCAGTCAGCTGTGGCCAATAAAAATCACATTCATGCCCAATAAGAAAAGACGAGCCCAGAATAATATCGTACCTGATTCATGTGTGACGGAGATTTTATATATGTATATAGTGTTTATGGTGTATTTTGTTGCTGGGGACAAAAAGATACTGCTATGATTCATTTAAGCTAAAATCGCCGGGCGTACATCAATTAGGGGCAACTACAACGTCTCATTGGGCTCCCTTTTAGGTTTAAATATGCACACACATTAAAAACTAATGAACATGAAATAAAAACAAAGCGTAAAGATTACGTTTCTTGACTATAGATTGCCCTGTACTGTAGGGCATATCTAGTTGCGAGACGGTTTTGAAGAAAAAAACTGGTTCGAACCCGGAATATTTATTACGAACCGAGTCCGAAGCCATTTATGCATTTATCTAGCCATACTTAATAGATGTCAATATTGAGTAGGGATCAAATTTATTCCCTTGGTTATCTATGAAAATTGAATATAGAATTGTTCAATACACATTTTAATAAAGAAATGTATATGAAATTTATTTTCTGATATAGAATCATAGAAATGATTATTAGTTTCATTTTTAAAATTAAAGTTATCAAAAAATATCTAATATCATCAGGATAACAAAATAATGACAGATACCCATGAGTAATAGTAATAGGGATTTTGATTTGCCAGCTTAATATACCCGTTCGAGCATTGTCTTTGCAGTGTATGCCCCTTAAAATGCCAAAAGAAAGAGCAACAAAACGTGAAGGTTAAAATTTACAAGGCAATCAGGCACGCAATAAGATAAAATAGCGGAATACTAAATGGAATACATTTCTAGAAATATGTTCTAATGCCATAAACGAGAGAGCCGCACACCTTCATATATAGAAGAAGTAGGCGTTGACTTTGGCACAGTGGTACACAAATTGTTTGAAAGGCAAATAAATCACGAACATATATACCAATTTTTTTGAATAAACGTTTTTGATGGTTTTTTATAAATGGATATAATTCCCGAAAAAACTACATGACAAGACAGATCAGATAATTCCATTATATAGATCTCTGAGGTAACTGCCCCGACTGCCCGATTGTCCGACTGTCCGAGCCAACGGAGGCCGACTAAAAGCATATTATTTTTTTTAAATATATAGATTTTTAGAGATCGCAATTCTCGCGACCTTGTGGACTATTTATAATTCAGCTTGCTCGCTCGTTTCATAAATGAATCATTTTTATGGCAATTTTTGATATCATGTTCTCTCTCATAGGTTTCTCACTTTCGCACAAAGCGAAAGAAAAATCTTAGAGAATTATATTAGATTTAGTTGTTGAACGCGTTCAATGTCTGTTCATGACCATGATGTTGATGTTGATGTTGACAGCAGTCTATGGCGATACACATACGCACACTGTCTTAATGACAGATACGCGCCAAAATGTATCTCAAAGATACAATACAAAGCGCCATGTGCGTGTGCTAAAAGTTGATGTGAAAAACGTTCGTTCACCCAACAACTTCAAAGGCGGCAATCGAGCAATGCAGCTGCAACAATTTTAATTGACATATACTTGTGGCATTTACCAGTCAAGTGATTGAGAGCCTCAAGCGGAAAGACTAACAAACAAACAACGTATATAGGAAAATTATCATTCCCAAAAGCCAAGCAACAATTCGAGTTTTGGTAAAAACAAAAAGTATATATATAACAAAAACTCGCCGCGTGCTTTTAGCTTGTCAAATTTGGTAGAACGATTTTTGACCGGTTTGCCAGGGCTCAACGGATGGAAACATGTGCGCCCACTAGCCAGCACAGATTGAGCAATTTAAAGCTACATCGAATCTCAATTGAAGAACAGATACAATACGCTTTTGTTTGCATTGTGTAGCGCGTAAAAAGTAGCACAGAAAATGTCAAATTTAATTAAGCGTCGATGCGCAAACAAATTGTGTGCGAGGCGGAGGGCGCCTCGGGTCAAACAAAAGTGCGGCAAAGTTTAAAGTGAACAACAGCACGATAAATGATTTAAAGATAAATAACAAATACATGCATTTTATCTACAAGATTATAAAACTGAACACGTGCTCTAGCTGCACAAGCAAATTATGCTTTACGCCTTGCGCAAGTTGATTTGTGATACTTGATTAACCCATAAAGTTAGAGGCTTTTATCTTCGAGCTGGATTTAAAATCAGAGCAGTTGACATGATTTATATTGACAATATGCATTTCACGGCTTTCACTGCGGGTGGTTTTTGTGTAGACGTTAGGCCAAAAAGTCAGGATTGACTACGATGTTAAAAATGCTTTACTCATTCAATTTTTAATATTTTAATGGGCCAGTCGAGATGCAACTAAAGTAGAAACTTCTGGGCAGTAATATTTGCAATTCTTTTCAGCTTTTTTAATTTGTAAGAGAGTTAAGCTAAGCCAGGCAACTGGCTTATTGAATATATATAAATACAAATTTGTTTAAAATATATTAAACATTTACAATAGCTTACTAAATAAAAGTAAAAACTAAGAAAATTGGTTTGAAATTCTAATTTTAGGTTTCATATCAAGTATTTCAGCTCTTGTGCTCAATATATTGTGCCTCTTTCGAAGTAATTATATCAGCTATATATGTTTATTAGTCGCACCAACTTTCTGATTCTTGTGTAAATGTGTCTTTCGATCACTTGACACAACAACCAAATCCGTTCGGTAGCTGTAGTTTAATCTTAAAAGCTACACCTGCTTGCCTTCTCATCTGCAATTGCAAAGACATGCTACTTAAAGGCCTTTTGAGCTCGCTTTCAAGCACTTTTGGCTGGCAGCCTTTCACAATTTTCGACACTCAGCAGCATTTTCTCTGCTGCAGCTGAATAACGCGTGGGCGGAAACTTCAACACGTTGCACTCTGACAATCGCGCCACCAGTTGCACTTGTCAAACACTTGCCAACTGAAGCCCACATAATCATCGAAGCCGCCGCGGAAATTCTTCAGAAAAGTCGCCAGCGTGCCGCGCTCGTGTCGTGCGCATTTGCCCGCCCCCGCGTTCGCTTGAACTTGACTCAGTCTGAGCTTTGAGCACATACCACCAGCTGGCAGCTGGTGGCCCATTTTAATTGTATGCAAGCGGAAGTTAACGTCAACATTAGATTTAAATGTGGTTATTACTGGGGCTATTAGTACATGGATTCGCCTGGAAAGCGTGACGCACCTAGCACTTAGGCGTTCCGCCACCTAGACAGTCGTGTGTGGGTTCACATAGCTGGCATGCCACAGTTCCAATGGATGTGGGTTGTCTCACAGTCCAGCTAATTGGCCGCATCAAGAGCTTCAAGTGCTGTACTCTGGCATTACAGTAACCAGGACAGACTCTGGTATCGGGCATTCAGAGCAATCTCTCTGGCCACATATGTAGTTAGCATATCATATGACAATAGACATGGCAAACTTTTGCGTTTTGTAACTGTATATAGAAGCCCTAGAAGGTCTGTGGCAACTGCGCATATTAATTTCATCAAATTCAATTTATTCACTATTTAAACAACTAAAATGTTGTGCCGAAAGACGCGTGCGAAACGCGTCGAAAACGCATCGAAAACGCGCCATGTGTCTGGTTTACTCTAAAACCGCTCTCCGATCTCACTCACATGTTTGATATGTGGCCATAAAATGTTTACTCTCATTCCCTTCCTCTACCGCTCTCTATCCTATTTAATTGCGTAATTTGTTTAGTGTGTTTACTTTTGCTCATTTTCAAGATTCTGTTTCACATCTTCGCACGCTTTTGCGCCGTTCGCTTTGAGCTATTTCGCATCTGATTTTTGCGAGGTTCTTTGTATACCCATTGAAAATTGGAATGGTTCTGCCTGCTCGTGCTATAATCGTGTTGATCTCAGCGACTATAAAGGCCAAAAACCTAAAGTTCGGAACGTTATCTATTTGTTTATGAACTTGGTTTTAATATTTGTTCGGACCTATAATAGCTAGAAATATTATATTTGGTATACAATTAGATTCCCGTACAAATAAACTGTATCTCAAACAATTTTATGTTTTATTTGATTTGAAGAAAGAAACCTCGATAACAAACTAACTGTTAAGGCAACATTGATACTAGAGCTTATCATAATGCAATTTTGTTAAAAGCTTAAAACTTTAAAACTAAATAGGCGACTTTGTTTACTGAATGGGTCGAAAAGACGGAAAAAAGCAACTTCTCTTAAATATCTTAACAAAATTCTTTAGTTAGGATGACTAAGAGTAAAGAGACTTAGATCATCATGCTCTGCCTCTTCACTCATATTTATTTAGACAATATTTGTTTTCTTGTTTTTTTTTTTTTTTTTGTTTTTTGGTGAGGTGTGAAGAAACGTGAACGCAACGGATATTCGCTTAACTGAATTTACGGCCAGCTGGCAAAAGAGATTGGTACAAAAAAACAATATATATTCATACATATATTCAGTAGTTCCTGATCTTAGACTGGAAACTGTTTTGTAAAGTGTTTTCGATGTATGACAAGACATTTTGGCGTGTGATTATCTCATCAGCGACATCGCATGGCCCCAGGCCCAAACTTGTTAGGCGGCACATTCAAGCTGTAACTATGCATCCGATAGATACGAACCGGCTAAATTTGAATTTGCATGTGCCAACATCAAATTGGAGCTGCCGTTGTCGGCGTTGCATGTTAAGCGTTTGATTAATTTAATGACAATGCCCGTAGGCTGCAATCGATGATGCATCGTTTAAATGTATCTGTGTGTAGTTGTGTGTATGTGTGTGTGTGTGTGTATCTCATGTGGATGATATCAGCTTTCCAAAACTCCTGCAAGCAAATTGGCGCTGTTCAATTGATTAAGTATACAATTTCAAGAGAAAACATTGTAAGCGTTGTGTTCAATTCGTTGATTTATTTCATAGCTATATTTAAAAATTTGATGTACCCGGTCGGAGCAACATTTGAATATTTTAGGCGCTTTTGTTATTGTGCTGTTTCTAATTTTAAATATAATTTGTTTTACGTCACAGAAATCTGTTTTCTCCTTACCTTTGGCCGTAGACAATGAAGTCAAGGTGTACACAATAGACATGCCATAAATACTCGCGGTTAGTCGGACTGCTGCGAAAACAAATGTCATATATTAATGTGTTATTACGCATCGCAGATAAGATACGGGGTATTGGCCAAAGCAAAGCAAACGACGTGTGGGTAATGCATCTGAAAATTGCAACACCACCTCATTATTTTAACGATGCTGACAAACAGTTCAGCGAACCTTAATAAAAATGATAACGTTAATGCCAGGCGTTTACCTGTATATAGAAAAAAATATCTAGAGAAAAAACATCTATGCGATCTAATATGATATGCCCTTGCAACTACTCGTTTCGAGCACTTATTTTGTAGTTTTCTTGAAGTAAATGAACTTTAATTAAATTGGTTATTTCCAATATTGTTTTATAACTTTTTTTAATAAATTGTTGGTTTTTTTTTATATATATATATATTTTCAGTTAATTTAAAAATCTCATTCGAAATGCCGAAGCCACTCGTTAACTCCTGCTGCATGTGCCAGTCGACACGCAATGGCTCAGTTATATCCGGAGTCCTGGCCATTGTGCTATCCATAATCACGATAATTGTGATATTCACAACACGTGTGCACTTCAAGACAATTATCTTCGATTTTATACCAAACGATATAGTAAAAATCATACTGGTGATAAATCTATGCATGACAATATTAATTTCATTGCTGATGATCGCTGGCGTTCTCAAAGTGCGTATATATATCCTGATATAAATTACGCCAGTTTGCATTTACACATATGTTTATTTTTACAGCGCAATCATTACCTGATGGTTCCTTGGGTGGTGCTGGGCATATTGATTGCCATTGGCCTGCTGATATCTGTAATCTACACGGGCGTTGTCTTCTTCATCGATGGTTTTGTACTCACGGGCGTTCTGTGGCTGATCTTCGGCCTGATTTGTTGTGGTAAGTGGATATCCACGACGGCCTTTAGTGGCTTCTACTTGTGCGGTTTTTAGCACCGGATGCCGTTTAATGCACTTTATTGACGCATTTATCATGCGCCGATTACCTGCATGTTGAAAGCAAGTGACGGCACGGACGGAGGAGTTCGGTCTGCTGACAAATGAGGCGCGAAGTGCTTGCCACGCAATTAGTTTAGCTGCCAAATGGCAAACATAATAAACGGCAACAGTAGACACTCGCATATAAAAGACCGCAAGCTGTTAGGTTGTTTTTTTTTTTTTGTCAAGCTTTAGCCAAAATTCGTGACTTGAGTAAAGGCATATTTTACCAGTTAATGAAACAAAGACTACAATTGAATTTGTTGCAAGTCCAGACTTTTAGATTTTCGAATTTTATTGTTCCCCAAGTTATAGCCACATTCCTCCATCGATATAATTATAGTATGTGCAACTAATCTTTATTTTTATTATCCAGTATTTATGAGAATTACTTGAATTTTAGTTCATGGTTCTATGGCTCAGTTTAGTTTACTATTTCGTACATCCGCTGAATAAAGTCCGGTCCTAAAATTAAATTTTGAATGTTAGCATTCGTTGTTTCGCGTTTTTAGTTTTTAGCCCGAAAGTATGCTTTTAGTTAGACTTATATTGAACAGCGCAAACGCCCATCTTTTTGTAGATTTGTGCAAGCGACAAATGTAACGAAATATATTGATCTTTTTCAGCTGTGCTCACATATTGTTGGTGCGTCGTTTATAGCGAATACGCAAATCTGGCCGAGGAAAGCGAACGTGGACGTTACAACAAGCAGCCCTATCGTCGTTGATTGCCCGGTCGCACCATCCAGTCACGGCTGATACACCATATGCATCTTATCTGTTAGTTGATAATACTAAAACTGCTTATGTTCGTAATTAGCTCATATGTTTAACTAATAATTTTAATTTAATTATTTAAAAATGCGTGCCCAACTTGGCATAGACGAATACATATAGCTTAAGTAAATAAAATGTATGGGGCCCGTAGTAAGTGCAATCGAATTACTTAACATTTACAATTATCTAGCATCACTGTCCACTAATTTTTGTTGTAATTTTTGTATTGAGAAAGTAATGTTGTTAACACGTAAATAAAACAATAAAAAATGCGAAACTGTATGAGGTCAATGTGGGTTTTATTATGTCTTCTGCCACATTTTCTGCTTTTTTTTTATTTCAAAATAGATATTTTTCTCTCAAAGTCTATCAAAATTGTAAATTAACTAAAATATATGTATGTGGGTGTAGTTAAGTATTGAGTGGGCGTGTGTGTCTTGTAAATAGCTATGTAAATGTGTTTACAGTTCATTTCGCGAATACTTTGGCTTGAGCTCCTCGATACGCTTAATAAAATCTGATTTTTCAAGACAACCGTCACAGCTCTCATCCCAGTCGTTGAGGATCTTCTTCAGATCGCGAACTTTCAGTTTCTTGAGATCCACGCTGTTCAAATCAATTTGTTTCTCTGTGCAATTAAATGAAGATATAGAAATATAGCAACTACATACGTCATCAACTACGCGAAAATTACATACCATAACGCAAATCGCAAATTTGTGCATCCTTCTTCTTCAGTTTCTCACAGACTTTCTCCGCTGGCATTGACCAGCTCAGTGGCTTGCTCAGCTCATTTAAGATTCCTGTGGCAGACTCCTCAAGACCGCCCAGGTAGTAGCACTACGTGGTTTCAAATATATATATGTGTTTCATTGATAGATTGGTTAGACAACCTGTTTACCGGCAAATTGGCCTTGGGCTACTTACAAATCTGTGCTCCTTGTTTTTCTGTGTCTTGCAGTATTTCTTGAATGCTGTTTCAATCAATTTGTAATCCTTCTTTGTCGCGTCGTCCAGTGTGTCGGCAAAACGTTTGACAGTCTTCACGCAAACTGTAATTAAGTTTCAGTGAAAATCTGTTCTAGAACAGTTTATACATACGTGGCCATCAACGGCACATTTCTACACCTATGTACGCACCTTCGCAGTCGTCCTCTTTGAGCGCCAGCGCCGTCTGACCGACGCCAACTATGAAACAGATCATGAGTACTATATGTGACGTGTTCATTTTGCACCACCTTTGAATTGTTTGATTTAATAAATTGGTTTTTGTTGAATGTCCCACGATAGTTTGCCAGCCAACTTGTTAGCTCTTGTGTTCTTAACTGTGTGACCAGTTTGTGAAATAGCTATAATACCACATTTCTGACGGAAAGTGCTAAAATGCCACAAACTGAAAGTAAAAATACTAGAATTTTTCGTAAAATAAGAACAATCATGCTTACAGTGCCAAGTTGAGTAAACTATTGGCAAGACTTAGAGACGATTATCGCTTGACAAGCCGTCTACCAAAATAAATTGTTTACAAAATAATGCAGCTAAAAATATTATAGAAATTAAATATGTATAAATATCAAGCGATCTTGAGCTATTACATACATACTTTTAATGTTTTAATCGATAGTGAAAATGAACATCTGTACATCTCGAAGTTACCGATAGTTTTATTTGCTAGTAAACGCTCATGTAGACGAGTTTACTCATATAACACTGTTAGAACATTTTTAATAATTAATTATGGAATACTTAAGTTAATATAATTTTCTTATGACAAGCTACATAAATTTTGACAAAACCCCCAAATCATTTTGACCTCTTAGACGGGAAACCAACAATTATCCTATACTAATGTCATATTTCTATAAATTTGTAATTAACGAAATATTAATAATAGTTTTTTTTTTTATGTACATATATATATATGTATATGCATTTAAATATGTATATAGGTACATATTTATTGTCCATAACTGTTAAATTAACCGATTTCGTGAAATGGAATTTCATAGTAAGCTTTCACAATAAACTTTTTATTTCAAAATAAAAGCTTGCAAGCTTGCGCTTAGTAAAATATCTGAGCAGAGCTTTTTGCAGTATATAATAAAACGCTTCAAAGCAAGTAATTGGTATTAGTTATTTATCGAGCTTACAGTAGTTTGGACAGTAAACAACGATTTTTTTTGGTATCAAAGAATGTCGAATGAAAACAATGAATTTAATGCCGATGAGCTGAAGGCACCCACCTGGCTGGACTCACAATTTCTAAAAAACGTGTTGGCAAATAACTTAAAAGATGATCAGCTGGAAGTACTGTACTATAAAATCTCTCCGGCTACCGTAAAGGGTGATCATTATGCCAGTGTTATGTTTCGAGTCGCTGTGGAATATATGACCCAAGCGGGCGAGAAGGCCTCTAAGTCCTTAATAATTAAGACAATGCCCGAACTGGAGGGCTTCAAGAAGGAACAACTGGGCGAATCACATATCTTCCAAACAGAGATTGGCATGTATACCGAAATACTGCCGAAAATTGAGGCCATACTGCGAGAGGCATCCGATGACATATCGCTGTATGCGCCTTGCCTATACTGCAGCTTGGATCCGCGTCAGGTAATGATATTCGAGGATCTGGTGCCCTTGGGCTACACTGTAGTGCGCGATAGGGAGCCTACTCTGGAGGAGGTGAAATGCGCCTATTCCAAGCTGGCCAAGTGGCATGCCGTTAGCTACAAGTTACAAAAGGAGGAGCCAGCCGTGTTTGAAAAATACAAATACAGTTTAATGGAGCTACCCAAAATAATGGAGGATCCGTTTATGAACGGCATAGATTACTTCATTAGAATGCTGGACGAAGTGCCCGACTTGAGTGTCTATAAGCCGCACTTTGAAAAGATACGCGCCAATTATCAGGAAACGTTTAGAGCTTCTTTTGTGGAGTATCGCGAGAATCGCCAGGAAAATGCGTATTATGTGCTATGCCACGGCGATCTTTACATTAGGAACATGATGTTCAAGCATAATAAAGAGAGTGGGATCTTGGAGGACTGCATGCTGCTGGATTTCCAGATGAGCAATGTGGGTCCCATGCCTAACGATATAATTTACTCAATATATCAAATGCTATCGCCCGATCAACGCCAATATCATCGCAATGAGTTAATTGAGTATTATTTTTCCAATTTCACGGAGACCTTAAAGAAAATAAAATATGCGGGCGAATTGCCCAATTTGGCCGAGTTTCACCGGCAGCTGTTTCGGCAAAGATACTTGGGTAAGTTAAGATTATAAATATACACATATATATATTTATAAATTGTTAAAAAAATGCAATTTTCTCATTATAGAATTGTTTCTTCTGACCACATTTTTGCCGTTAATGTATTGTGTTAAAAGTGGAAAGCAAAAGTCCGAGGATATGGTGGAAATGCGCTATAAAGAGGACTTAAGACAGAGCTTTTATCGGATCGAGGGCTATGTGGAGGAAGTTCGAAAGCTTTTGAAAAGTTTTGAGCAGCAAGGTTATTTTGAATAAAATGGATTTGCTATAAATGTGCAATAAAAACTTGTTTCGCATCATTATTGTGTAGAATGTCGACAAACTTTATTTACTTCCTCTAGGTCAGGTACTTGAAATCTAAGTATCTTATCTAATCAATAAAAGGTTGGAACCAATTAGCTAATATTCTGTTAACAGTATTATAACAGATAAATGTATGTGGACGGGCGCCTTTGACCACCGACCTTTAATTTTTTTTTTATATATTCTCTTTGCAAATTTAAAGGCCAATTACCTTTGAAAACATTACAATATAATGTTGACGCGTTAACTGTTTACTCACAGCAAACCAACCAATATTAACTAAATTAAAACCTTTCAAATAGTGTATTTCACAACAGACTAATTGAGTTTTCTCAAAAAGTCCGTGCTGTTGATAGGTTCTCAAAAGCTTTCGGCAAAAACGCTTAAAAAGACGTGTGCGCTAGAGAGAAGCTCATTATTAATAGTTTCGTTGACTCGTGCGCTAGAAATACTTATTAAATTTATAGTTATAGTGCAAACAAATATGGCAGCGACAAAAAATGATAGCTTCAATGCCGATGAATTGGTGGCACCCGAGTGGCTAAACGCGCAGTTCTTTGAGGAAGTACTTGGCCAGCATGAAAAGGCAGCAGAACTCAAGGTTGTGAATGTGAAGATGTCTCCAGCGAGTGGCAAAGGCGATCACTATGCGAGCGTTATGTTTCGTGGTAATGTTTCGTATACCACAGAAAAGGGCGAGTTCTCCAAGTCGCTGATCATCAAGACAATGCCAGAGGAGGAGGGGCACAAGAAGGAAATGCTGAGTGATTCCTATCTGTTCGAGACCGAGATTGGCATGTACACCAAAGTGCTGCCCAGATTCGAGGAGATTCTTAAAAAAGCTGGTGATGAGACTAGGCTATGTGTACCTTGTATCTATCACAGCCTTAAGCCGCGACAAATTATGATATTTGAGGATCTGGTGCCGCAAGGTTATACTGTTATCAGGGATAGGAATGCTACTGTTGAGGAACTGAAGGGCGCATTAACGAAGCTGGCCAAATTGCATGCAGTTAGCTTTCAGATTCTACATGAGGTAATACCTAACGCATGATAATTTAGAAAACTGGTTAACATCTCTTATATCTTAGACACCAGATTTTCTGAAAGAATTCAAACATGGCCTGTGCTCAATGCCGAACTTTATGAGTGATCCCTTCCTGACAACGGGCTTTGATAATTTTCTGGAGTTTCTTGACAAAAAACCAGAGTTTAACAAGTACAAGCCATACTTCAAGAGCCTAGAGCATACTTATATGAAACTCTTCACTGATATAATGGAAGAGTATCGTGAAAATCGACAGCCCAATGGATTCTATGCCTTATCCCATGGAGACTTTCATCTGCGTAACATGATGTTCAAGTACAACACTGAAGATAACAGTTTTGAGGATTGCATGTTACTTGATTATCAAATATGCAATATATGCTCGATTACCATCGATATTATATATTCTATTTATATGCTGATGTCTCCCGAAGATCGTCAGCACAACTGCGAAGAGCTAGTTAACTTTTATTTCTCCACTTTTGTTGATACACTAAAGAAAACTGGCTTCAAAGGTGAACTTCCGCGTCTTGTGGAGTTTCAGAAGGAAATGGCACGTCACAAATTCTTTGGTAAGCTTGAATTTGGCTTAAAGATGCATCTTAAACATATATATATATTTAAAATGTATGTATTTACAGAACTATTTCTGTTGTCAACATTTCTTCCGCTGATGCATGGTGTTAGGTCCAATGCCTTTGATATACCTGATGTGCTACAGAACAATGAAATTCGAAAAAAGTTGTACTTCTTGGATGAATATGTCGAAGATGTTAAGTTTTTGTTAACCAAATTCGAAAAATTGGGCTATTTTGATTGATTTGATAACAAAATATAAGTAGTACAAACAAATGCGTAAACTGTCTGTCTCAATACTTTCCCAGTTGTTCAGGGCATTCAATAGAAAATTAACATGCCTAACATAATTGTATCTGCCGATCAGTTTCACTCTAAACTCTTATAAAGAGAGCAGCCACAGACTGCTGTGCAGAAAAATGTTATGAAAGCTATTGATAATAAATAAAAGAGAGGAGAGAATTAAAAAAAAAAAAAAAAAATGAGAGAGCTTTTATATTTTATTTCACCATGTTAAGTACCTCAATTTTCATTTATATTTATAGACAATGTTTTAGAGATAATTTAGATTATTCACATCTATCTAGTTGATATTGAAATGCATTTGCCCAAAAATGGATTGAAAAACTCAATTATCTTGTATAAAGCCGGTGAGTACCTTACAGATAAGTTAACTTTTTTTATCAGCATAGTATTTAATATAGTAGTATATATAATTATTAAGTCTAGTCCCGGCTAAAAGAGTTTGCTGAAAGTTTTTTTTTTTGATTTGTCACGGTGAAACGTACTTTTGCTATTTATAAACAGTCATAAAACCGGTTATATACTCAATAGCAAACTCAATTGTCTAGAGTATGTTGCGTTGTAATCAAAAATATACACAGCCGTGTTTAACAGGAGGCTAATATCAATTTGTAAAAGGTAAGAGAAACCTGTGGAGAAGTTAAGAACAATCAGCCCACAATAGTTTGATATCTATAGAAATATGTTATTATAAGTAAATTAAAAATCGATTACTTTCATTTAAATTATACAGACATCCTTCCTTTTGATAATACAATTGGGTAAGCTCCCTTGTGGAAATGCTTTATCATAGGTTCAAATAGCACAAAGTCTTAGAATATCCCATTTCTTACATTACATTTTAATCTTGCTTTTACATGCATGTATATTTTCATTAACTTATATTAACTTACCATTATATATAAAACATTGGTTGGCTGGCTTGAGGTTATATCTTTTTTTTTAACATTTGACGCCGAAACTCAAGCAAACTGGGCACCTTGACCTGGTATCCACTCTTCTCTAATATATTCACAAGTAGTTGTAAATAATATCATTAGCTATAAAGTCCATGTAGGACAACGGGAAATTCAAAAGCATACATTTGAGTCATATTACGCAGATCAAAATGCCCATGATAGAGCATGTAGTAGCCAATTTCTTGACGGTTATCACGATATTCCCGAACAATTAGGTTTCCATTTTCATGCACCTTTACGAACAACCTTACATCAACTACTTTCAGCTCTGGTGCCTTGAGATGCTTAACCAAGACTTCTCTGATGAACTCTGTGTTAAGCCATTGTGTCCAACTTTTTGACTCTATATTTTTAATCTTAATTTGCCACCTATTTACTGCGTTTGAAAAAGATTAATCCACATTAAATATATATACATATAAATATACATACTAAAATAACTACAACCCTAACGCACCTTTTATAAAAGGCGAATGCATTCCTAACAAAAAGAATTATTTTTTGTTAATGTCAAAAAACCAAGTACATAAATAAATGCACTTCTAAGTGATAAAATCGAAAGAGAACGCCAAGTGTTGAAATTGATAAGATTAAAATGTATTTTCAAAATTGTAAAGATTATTTCGGAAAAAGCGCAGATAGCCAAAGATTTGCTGAATTGAAAATCTTTTATTAAAAGTAAATTAAATCCAAACTAACCGAGAATAGAAATGAATTGACTGATTATGATGCTGCACACGTAGAGAGGGCTGGTGCATAGTCGAAGACAATAACGACAAAGGGAATTCTTGTCACAGCATTCTTATATAATGCATGCCATATAATTATTCAAATTACACGATTAGACACTATTTACTCTACACAATTAAAGTGGCTCAAAATAGCCCAAATGAAGCATTCGAGGCAATAGATCTTCCAGTTCCTTTATGTATTCCTTCTGGTAATACAGCTTGGAACGCAAGTCATCATTCTCAATTATCTCTCCAGGATCGGCGCCCTTGCGCATATATATTATTATGGGTTGAAAAGAGGTAAGCAGCAGAAAATCTGAGGTATAGATGGTATGGATGTTACATACAAATATTAAATAAATCATATTTCATTTATTTGAACTTACCATTATATCTTTTTTCAAACATTTGTCGCCGAAACTCAACCAAACTGGGCACCTTGCCCTGGTACCCAATCTTCTTTAATGTATTCACGAAGGTTTGGAAGTAGTTATAAATAAGTTCATTTGATTTTTCTTCACGTAACTTTCCGTCAAACAACATATAGATGGCATATATAATATCATTGGCCATAGAGCCCACATAGGACATCTGGAAATCCAACAGCATACAATCGGGTCCCCTAAACATCATATTACGCAGATGAAAATCCCCATGACAGAGCACGTAGTACCCATTTTCTTGACGATTGTCTCGATATTCTCGTATCACATCCACCCAGGCCTGAATTAACTTATCTTGCATCGGTTCAAAGTACTTGCGGTAGGTTTTCAGACTCTCCACATTTCCAAGCATATCTGTAAAGCTGCCCAGGGATTTGGTCAAAAAGTCCTGCTCCAAAAATTTTGGAAGTGTGGTTATATCATATTGTAGCTGATCAAATAGTTCGGGCTGTTCCTTGAGCAACTTGTGGCTAACTGCGTGCCATTTGGCCAAGGTTTCCAGAGCAGCTCGCAGCTCTTCTATGTTAGCAGATCGTCGAATGACAGCGTAGCCCTGGGTTAACAGATCCTCAAAGACCATTACCTGGCGTGGCTTTAAGCTATGGTAGATGCAGGTGGCACATAATCTAGTCATATCGCCCACCTCGCGCAATACCTTCTCGAACTTGGGCAACACCTTGGTGTACATGGCAATCTCCGTCTCAAAGATGTGTGATTCACCCAGCAGCTCTTTTTTGTGACCATCCTGTTCGGGCATTGTTTTGATGACGAGCGATATCGTCGAGTGCCCCTTTTGCGTTTCATACTCAACATAAGCTCGGAACATAAGGCTCGCATAATGATCCCCCTTGGAGCTGGCTGGCGAGAACTTTACATCAACCACTTTGAGCTCTGGTGCCTTGAGATGCTTAACCAAGATTTCTCTGATGAACTCTGTGTTAAGCCATTGCGGCGCATTGAGCTCATCCGAGTTGTAGCTGTCGTTATTGGGAGGCATTCTGGATGCTATTGTCAGGTATTTTAAGAACTAACTGAGCGCAAATCGTCTGAAATTACGAATTTATGCAATTTCATTTCAAAGCTTTCAGAGCTTTCTAATTAAATGGGTTACATAACGAAATGACTCGCAATATAATCGCCGCTGGTGGGAGCTTAAAGTTGAGTTTTCATACCCTAGTAGAGGGTATTACAAATTTGTCACGAAATGTTTGACGCAATCGAGTCGCTAAAGCCTTGCCTTTATCATGTAGTCCTATAGGTCAAAAATGAATTCTTGCTTGGACAATTTTCTGTTAAATATATCTGGAACAGATATCTCAGCAAATATCAATTCACTAGCTTTTTAAAATATTGTAAAGCCTTCGATTTGGACTGCTGTTTTACATAGTTTCTACAAGAACAATTGGTCGGAAAGCTTTTTTTATTTAATACATTAATTTATAAATTAAGAAGAGTATTTAATTGGCAACATGCGGCGTGTAATTATTATTATTTACATTCAGTGGGTAAACATATGAGTAGATATGATAATTCTTATTGCTTTCAAAACTAAACGAGAATGATGAATTAAATCAGCTCAACTAAGGATCACTCTAGTTCAAAAAGTGTGGTATTATCTGGAGCTTGCCTAAAGAATTTCAGTTGAGTTCTTCTATCTGTTATAATTTGAATTTTGTATACTTTCAGACAAAAATCAAAATTTAATCATTTTAATGACAATATGATTATAAAGGTTTATCATGTGCTAGGAGGCTTTTGAACTTAAGTGTAGAGTCAATTGTTATCATCTTTGGAATGCATCATATTCTAGTAGAAAATTATTATTCAAGAGAGATTGAAGTCGAGAGGTATGTAGATAGAGAGAGCGAGAGTTACATCAGCTGTTATCTAATGTTGATTGTAGATTGGAAAAGCCTTGATAATATTTAATTTAATACAAAAGCTGTTGTACCCACATGGAGTTTCTAGCCATGCGGCTCAAACAGTTTTCTAGCTCAAGTATTTAGCACTTCATTGTTTATTCTATTATTTTTATTTTATAAGTGATCGATAAGACGTGTGTCAGCCAAGGTATTTAATTCATTATATTTCATATATTTTTAGTTAAATGTCTAAAAAGAACACACAAATTTCTAATACCATCACCGATACAATGTGTAAGCAATTCTTTCGGGCGGCCAAGCACAGCTAATTTTTGTCATTACCATTTTGGACCTCTCATGAAGATGAAGGCGTTCGTAGGGAAAGAAGTATTCTTAAGTAACAATTAAAAATATTCCTAATTAATCTAGTTTAATTAAAGTATTTACTAATAACTGGCTGAGTCAGTCTGATTTGGCTGATTTGAGCACAGCTCGAACTCTAGGATCTAGGAAGATGAAATTCTTACTCTACTGACCTTATATGCTCAAATTGCGAGAAAGTTTATGTTTAGCATTCGGCCTCAAACTTACAAATACATTTCTTCGCATTTATTAGAAAAGGGTTTTACATTTTTTGGAAAATACATCGCTCCTTAGCGAATTTAGGGTTCACAGATTTGCTGGCTGAGGTTTTAGATCGAATAAATATTATGTGCTTTGTAATTAGATCTGCTAAAATTATTTATATATTACATAAGCTGTTAATTGTTGTATGTACAGATACCTTTACCTGTTGGTTAAATCATGCTCTTATCTTTGGAGCTTTAGGGCTTAAAATTCCCTTTTATTTCACAAAACAATGAATTCTACTTACAATTTTTAAACGCGCTTGTCAAAGCTTTGCGAAGCTTTCTTTAGCTTTTAAACAAAAAGTCACTTAAAACGTTGACTAAACGGCATTCAGTTTCATTATTGTTATACACTACCGATACTTCGCATAGAAAGAAAAATAATTTTAAGGTGTAAAGAAGAGAACAAGCAACATGGACACGAATAAAAATGTTGATAGCTTTAATGCTGATGAATTGGTAGCACCCGGGTGGCTAAATGAGCAGTTTTTTGAGGAAGTGCTTCGCAAACATGAAAAGGCGCCTGATCTGAAAGTCCTAGATCTCCACATGACTCCAGCAAGTGCCAAGGGAGATCACTACGCGAGCGTTATGTTTCGTGCAAATGTCTCGTTTAGCACACAGGAGGGCAAGCTCTCCAAGTCGCTGATCATCAAGACTATGCCCGATCAGGAGGGTCACAAGAAAGAAATGCTCGAAACCTCAAATATTTTTCGTACTGAGATTGCCATGTACACGAAGGTGTTGCCCAAGTTTGAGGAGATTCTCCGAGAGGCGGGCGATAATACCAAGCTATGTGTGCCCTGCATTTATTGCAGCTTGAATCCGCGAAAGGTAATGATCTTTGAAGATCTGGTGCCGCAAGGGTATACGATCATAAGGAAACGCGACGCTACCATCGAGGAGCTGAAGCTCGCATTTCTTAAGCTTGCCAAATGGCATGCAGTCAGTGTTCATATGCTGCAAGAGGTAAGCCTTATGCATATATGGTTAAATAGTAAGCAAAGATTCCTTATACTATTCCTGTACATTAGCAACCCGATTATCTGCAAGAACTTAAATATGGCCTGTTTGAGATACCAAATATGCGGCAAGACCCCTTTTGTACCACTGGCATGCGAAAGTTCCTCGAATTGCTGGAAGAGATTCCAGAATTGAGAAAGTATATACCCCATTTCAAGAAGATGGAAAATGATTATGTGGATCGTTTGGAAGCTGTAATGCAGGAGTATCGCAATAATCGCAAACCCAATGGATATTACGTGCTCTGCCATGGCGACTTTCATCTGAAAAACATGATGTTCAAGCACAAGGCAAATGGAAGTTTGGAAGATGTCATGTTATTGGATTTTCAAATAAGCAACATTTGCCCGATTACCATTGATCTGATCTATGCCGTCTATATGCTGATGGGAATAGAAGATCGTCATAAAAACTACAAGCATCTCATTAACTACTACTTTTCCCAGTTCCTCACAACATTGCAGAATATTGGCTTTAAGGGCGAGTTGCCAAATTCGGTAGAGTTTTGGCAACAAATGTCCCAGCATAAGTGCTATGGTAAGTAAGCACTTGGAAGCCACTTTCAGCTATGTACTTCATTTTATATTCTCGTTGAACATTTCTTAGATATTTACTTGCTAACTACATTTTTGCCAATGATGTGTGCCCTTAAGTTGTATGCCTTTGACCCTGCTGATATATTTCAAAACGAAGATGTGCGGAAAACAATGTACCGTCTAGATTTGTACATCGAAGATGTGAAGAATCTGTTGTCCAGATTCGAGAAAGAGGGATACTTTGCAAAGTCTGTTTAATTCTTTTATGATTAATCTTAACTCAAGCCAAGAAATATATACAAAATAAATGTGTTGTCTAAAAACATTTGTTTTAGTTATTTGCAAATATTTGCAAAATAGTTTCTGGCAAAGCGCTTATCACGTGCAAGAAGGCACCCATCAGGCGATACGCCTTACAAATCTGGGGCTTGGCTGCTCCTTCAAAGAGAGAGTTCAATCCCTTCAATGCAAGGCTCTTCGCCAGAAGGCAGGAGTACCATATTGCGTGCGCAACAGCGTGCTCCACAGAGTTTTAAGGATTCCCTGGGTCGAAAAGAAAATCAGGTCCACCTGCGCCCTATACAACAACCGGCTAGCCACACACGCCAATAGGTTAGCAAGCACACTTCCAGGTGCCTGTCGCATCAAGAGATCAACTCCGCCCACCCATCCCCAGGTCCTCAGGCCGGCTACCTGATAATCTTATACAAATATTGTAAACCACATGAAACAAACTAGTTTTTCTATAAAAACCTGGCGAACTTAAATAATGAAAAGAATTGGCCCATAAGGCAATTACCGACCTTAAAAGATGTTTAATAAGCATATAATATTTGAAAAAAATTAATAAAAAAAAAAACATTTTTGGAACCATAACATATAAAAAAATAAAGGAAACAAAAATTAATATTCATAATTACAATACAAAATGAAGGCCTTATCTGCCATTTAAAGCAATTTAAGTGGCCCATTGCGTCATTAGTAGAAACCATACGATATTGATGAAGGAGAGAAAATAGGGAGAGAGAGAATAAAATAGATGTAAACAAGAAAAATCAGAAGCGAGGGAGAGAGCGAGAGAGAGAGAGAGAGAGTAATCTCAGTGTCTCTCAAATCTTTGATTAGATGAATTCTTTTAACATAACATAAATTAAATTGTTTCTTGTGCTTTTATATTTATTTATAAAAACCATAAAAAAAATTGTATAAGCCCATTAATTGATTTTTTTTTTTTTTTTTTTTTTTTTATATTTTGTTTATTAAGAAATCTGGTATCCTGTTACTCTATGTTAGCAACTTTTATCAGAGTGACATAATTACTTAGCTTAGCGATGATTGTGGTTTTACAATTAGTTATACAATTAGGTTAACAGATTACAGAAACATATTTTGGTGTAATTAACGAAGCTTGTCACCTATACATAACGATCGATTAGGTCGGTTGGGTAGGTCCTCTTCAGTCGCCTTCTTCTTCGCCTCCTTAGCAGGCTCCTCGCCAGGATGTTTGGGTGGTTGTGGAGCTTTGTTGAGTAGCTCGCTGCTTGCCTGTTGACTATGTCGCCCACCATTGGAACCTTGAGGTCCTTGGCGATGTCGCGTGTGCGAATATACCATTCGGCTCCAGTTATTTTGCGCAGGGTTTTGGCCTGAATGATGCGAATTTTGTTCAGGTGTGTTTTTGCAGCTATACCGTAAACTTGAAGCCCGTAACGCCACACTGGGGCAAGGATTACCTTGTAGATTAGGACCTTGTTTCGGAGCGAGAGTTTGTTTTTGGAGTTGAGGAGCCAGCTCATTCGCCTTATCTTAGATTTGATGTTGCTCGTTACTGCAGAGACGTGCTTACTAAATGTAAGTCGTCTGTCGAGAGTGACACCTAGGTACTTGTGTTGACGATATTGCTCTAGAAGCTCACCATGAAGAAAAAGTCCGGGGCATGAGTCCTTGCGTAGAGTGTGGGTAACCGTGGCGCACTTTCCAGGGTTCACTGCGATGTTCCATCTACAAGCCCAGTTTTCAAATCGCTTGAGGTATTCCTGCAAGAGGTCAGTTGCCACGTACACACATTTGTTTTTTGCAAGGATTGCCGTGTCGTCAGCAAACGTGGCCACCAGAAGGTCCTGCCGATCATTCCGTCTGCTTGCATTTGCTGTGGGCATGTCATGTGTAAACAGGCTATATAGCGTGGGACCCAAGACGCTGCCTTGTGGAACGCCCGCTTTTATGCGTTTGGTTTGAGAGGCTACTCCATCCTGCACCACTTGAAAGGTTCTCTCAGTTAGGAAGCTCGCAATGGTGCTAAATAGCTGCGGATTCAATTTGTCCTTTATCTTAGAGAGGAGTCCTGCGTGCCACACCCGGTCGAAGGCTTCTTGGATGTCAAGGTATGCTGCCACCACATACTCTTTCCTGTGAAAGCCGTCCAAAATATAATTTGTGACCCGATGTAGTTGCTCAGGGGTACCGTGTTTGAGTCGAAACCCAAACTGGAACTTCGGGATCAAGCGTTTTATTTCCGGGGTATCCAGGACCCTTCTGAGGATGCACCTTTCCAGAATCTTACCAAAGGCAGGCAGGAGGCTGATGGGGCGATAGGATCCCAGTTGATTAGGGGGCTTTCCGCTCTTGTGCAACATGATTATATGTGCCTTCTTCCAAGCCACTGGAAAGTAACCTAGCCGAAGAGCTGCATTAAAAATGGCGACGAGAAAAAGCACCGCCTTGTATGGCAGTAGCTTGATTGTCTGGTTGTCCAACCGATCTTCCCCAGGGGCTTTGCTGCTTTTTAATCTCTTCATCTCCTGCTCTACTTCTTGGAAGGTGATTGGCGATACAGGGAGTGACATTTGGAGTGGCGCCTCCAGGATTTGCGCGACTCGCTGTATCCTTGCATGCGATGCGGTCTCAAACGGCTTGAAGCGCTCCTCCAAGTTGCAGGCAAAGGCTTCGGCTCTGTCCATTGGTGATCTGGCCCAGGTGTCATCGGGAAGTCGAACGGGGAACTTTGGCGCAGCTTGCCGCTTGTATCGACTGCTAAGTTTCCACAGCGCGAATTTGGAGCTCTCGTCTGCCGTTGCTTCCTCCAGCATGGTGTCTGTGGCATTTCTTTTCGAGATAATCAGCTCCTTCCTGACCCTGTTAGCAATACGACGATAGATCCTGTCAATCGTGGGGTCCTGGGTACGGACATACTCCCTCCTCAGTCGCTTTTTTAGGGCGAGAAGACCTTCCAATATGGGGGAAAACGTCCTTGGCCGCTGGCTTGTAGGGGCTGAGTAGATATGTGCGGGCGCAGCGTTGGCGGCTGCGGCATGTACTTGGTCCAACAGGGTTTGTACTGCAGCGTCGACGTCCTCAACTGACAGAATCTGCGTGTTTAGGTTGATCAAGCTATTTAGTTCGGCCTTAAATCGTTGGATGTTCGACCCAGGGAGGACAAGCCTGCGCTTTTTTGGGATCCTTTGTGCAGCCGTGTTGATCGTTGTGAGGAGTGGCAGATGGTCGGAAGATAGATCATACTCTTCGCGAACCGATAGTACGCTGTTGGGGATGCCCTTGAATATAAAAAAGTCGATACAGGAAGGCGTACTTTGCCGGTTGTACGGAAAGTGGGTAGGTCTACCGGTGGCCAGTACCTGGGCTGAGCAGGGAGTGAGCGCCTCATGGAGCGCAGTGCCTCTGCTGTCAGCTCTGTAGTTTCCCCACAGTCTGTGCTTAGCGTTGAAGTCGCCTCCAACGATGAATTTGGGGCCAAGCTGGCCAAACAGGGAATCAAATTCCGCTCGGTTCCAGGGGATGTTTGGTGGTAGGTATGCTGCCGCAACGAGGATTTCGCCCAAGGGAGTCTCCACCATGATAGCAGCCAGCTGTGTGTCGCTGGAGGTCACTGTGTGTAGATGGTAGTGTGCTAAATCCTGCTTTGCCAGCACTACAGCACCACCTCTGGCTCGTCCTGTAGGGTGATCCGCACGGTAGCAGACGTACCCCTCCATTGTTAGGTACAAGTTTGTGTGCAGATGTGTTTCTGAGATGAGCATGATGTCTACATCATGCTTTTTCAGAAAAAGCTTGAGCTCGTTAGCATTTTGGAGGATGCCACGAGCGTTCCACGATCCGAGACGTAACTGGGTAGCCATTATTTGCGGCTTTTTGGGAATCTAAGCTGCGGGGAACCTTGCGCATCCTTTAGCTCTTTAATGCTAACCAGAATGGTTGCAACTGCGGCATTCAGTGCTGCAATGGACTGCTGGAGGTTTTGAAGGATGCCTCCAAGGGAAGCGTCTTGCTCCTGAGGCCCTTGCAGTGGTTGTTGGAGCTGCATTGGATTGACGGTGGGCTGAAGAGTGCGCGCTGGGGGTTGGCGGACTTGTACATGATGGCCTGGCCGTAGCGCATCAGCATACGACAGGCCCTGTTGCACAATTCGGGAAGGTACGAACTGCTGAGTGGTTCTTCGTGTATTTTGAGGATGGCTATATCGTGTAGGAGGGGAGACATTGATGGCCGGCTGCCTGGCATTTAGTCTCACCTGATAGCTTTTGCATCCTTTATAGGAAGCAGCATGGTTTCCCTCGCAGTTGGAGCATCGCAGGTCTGCCACTGTTTTGGCCTGGCACTGCTCGGAGTTTGTCCAATGGGACTGACCGCACCTACCACACTTGGGCTGTTTGAGACAGTAGTTTTTGGTGTGGTCGAACTCGAAGCAGCGGAAACACTGCCTTATACTATTGTTCTTCCTCGGAAGCTCAATAGTGACCCGTTGGCGGCCAACCTTGTTGAGCCGCAGCGCTTCCCTGTTGTTAAGAGACTGCTTGAGATCGACAAACCAGAAGTTGCGACTTGGAAAGTCGTTGGTGGAGTCTGCATCACTTGTTGGCTGTCTGGCGCCCGGGTTGTAAAGGTTCGTCACAATATGGCCGTGCGATGTAAAGGCAGCTTCAATCTGGCTTCTGGGAGTGGAAGCGGCCAGATTTTTAACCACAACGCGGTATGGTCTGTCTTCCTTTAGGCAGAAGTGGGTAAATTGCACTCTCACTTCAGTGAGCTTGCGGACAATTGCTCTGTGGGTGTCGGCATCTTTGGCGTAAATTCTTAGATAGCCAGAGGGAGAGACCTTGAATTCATAGGCGTCTGCGCCCACTGCCTGATCTATGGTTCGCTCCATTGCGACAATATCGCTGACTCCAGGGACTGTTATCGGCCTGGGTTTGGAGATCTTTTTCGCTGATTGTTGTTGGTCTGTGACTGGAGGCGCTTCGTCGGCAGTGTCCATCTCGCCGTCATCGATTACAGAGGCGTCTTCCTGAGGCTCAAGGGAGGCATATCTGTTGCTAATTGCCGAAGCGGTACTGGGAGTTGCGGGCTTAGCTCCAGCGCGGCTGGTGTTGCGGTTATTTAGTTGCTTCCCTTTTTTTACGCCTTCGGATAATAATGTAGTCCCACGCCGTTTTTTTGCGGAAACCGTTTGCCAATCTACCAGTGGCTCTTCGAAGGCTGGCGTAGCACCTGCGTTCTTTATGGGAGGCAGAGGGGGGTTTGTGACACAAGAACCAGCTGCCTGGGTGCCATAAGGGGTGGACTGCAAGGTCGGATTGGCGGCTTTGGGGCGGGTCCCGATGGGCTCTAAAGCGGCGCGGCTTGTGCCTGTTGAGGCAGATGTCCTGCAGCCGCTGCTGGATGACGCTGTGGTTGTGGTGGTTGTTGCTGTCGTTGTGCTGACAGTGCCGTGCTGTTGCGGTTGCCAAGTCGAGCATTGCTGGGTACCGGCTGACAGCGAGGTGGAGGCGCCGTTCCGGTTTGCACTACTGGCGAGCACGTTGTTGTAATATTGGTAAAAATCTTCCAGTGGCCTGCTTCCGTCGAGGCGATCGACATTAGCGGCTATATTTGTAGGGGATATAATTGAGCTGTTCGGCAGCGGGTAGATTGGCGAATGAATTTCTTCGTTGTTTTGGGGTCGGTTGTTTGTAGCCATTGTTCTTTACTTTGTTATAATTTTTTCCCCACAGGGAGAAAAAAGAATAAAAAATAAAAACAAAACAAGTTTTTTACACTTAATTACAAAAATAACCCGTATTTTTGTAACAAGTGATTGATCACAAATTGTGACTTTAGTGTCAGCACTGTCACTGCAGTGACTGTTTTGCCAGCACTATCAGTGCAGCTGCAAGCTGAAAGCTCTCTCGCGAAAGCTTTGCTGCACTCGCGCACACACACACGCACTTGAGTTGCGATCAGCTGAGCGCAGCTTAAGTTTTGCAAGAACTTGTTCTCACGCACTGCACGCGGTAATTTTTTTGTTAAAATATTGTTAATTTGTATAACACTCCGGCTGCCAGAGGCAGCAGTTGCGTATAGTTTACCCACTATAAGCGGGATTTGTATGGATTGCCCTGGGGCGGGCTTTATACAGTGTCACTGTCACTTTCTTGGTTTATGCCTGCTGCCAGCGGTGCACTAACGCGCACACACACACGAGACTGCAATTTTCACGTCCGATCTCCAGAGAAACACAAACGTAAGTGATTAATTGATAACAACGGTAATCAAGTACAAATATTTTTATTTTCAAAAATCAATCAAACTATGAGTCACACAGAGCTTAACACGTTTGCCAAAGTACGAGAATACTTTTGCACAGAATTTTACTTAAATAGCTGCGATATGTAGAGAGAACTTTTAGTATCGTGTGTTCAGTTGGATTGCCAGTATAGTCAACACATTGTGTCGATGTTATAAGTATTAACAACAGAAATTACAATGGCAACTGAAAATAATGATAGCTTCAGTGCTGACGAATTGGTGGCACCCGCGTGGCTGAATGCGCAGTTCCTCGAGGAAGTGCTTCGCAAACATGAAAAGGCGCCAGAGCTAAGTGTCCTGGAATTCCGCATAACTCCAGCCAGTGCCAAGTCAGATCACTACGCGAGCGTCATGTTTCGTGCGAATGTCTCGTTTGGCACACAGGAGGGCAAGCTGTCCAAGTCGCTGATCATCAAGACTATGCCCGAACAGGAGGGTCACAAGAAAGAAATGCTCAATAGCTCAAACATCTTTCGGACCGAGATTGGCATGTATACGAAAGCGTTGCCCAAGTTCGAGGAGATTCTTCGAGAGGCGGGCGATAATACCAGACTCTGTGTGTCGTGCATCTATTATAGCTTGGAGCCGAGGCAGGTAATGATCTTTGAGGACCTGGTTCCGCAAGGCTATTCGGTTGTAAGAAATCGCGACGCAACCATAGACGAACTGAAGTTAGCATTCCTTAAGCTGGCTAAATGGCATGCGGCTAGCTTTCATATACTGCATGAGGTATGCGGAACATATAATTAAATAATAATCAAATATTTAATAATACTACTAAATTTATTAACTTAAGCAACCAGATTACCTGCAAGAATTCAAACATGGCTTGTTCGAAATGCCCAGCGTTTTGAAAGATCCTTTTTTTAGCTCTGGCATGGGTACGTTTATTGGATTACTTGAGGAAGTTCCAGAATTAAGAAAGTATGTACCTCATTTCAAGAAGATGGAAAATGATTATGTGGATCGCTTGAAAGCGATAATGCAGGAGTATCGCAATAATCGCCAGCCCAACGGCTATTACGTCCTTGGCCATTGCGACTTTCATCTGCGTAATATGATGTTCAAGTATAGCAAGGACAATCAAAGTTTGGAAGATGTTATGCTACTGGATTTTCAAATGAGCAATATTTGCCCGATAACTCTTGATCTGATCTATGCCGTGTATATGCTGATGAGCATGGAGGATCGTCATAATAACTACAAAGAACTGATTAACTATTACTTCTCCGAGTTTCTTGCAACATTGCAAAAAATTGGCTTTAAGGGCGAGTTACCGAATTCGGTGGAGTTTTGGAGACAAGTATCCCAACATAAATACTATGGTAAGGCTTTACTTGTGAAAGTTTAACCTTTAAATAGATCTTAAGTACTTTGACTGCACAATTTTTAGATATATTTTTGGTTACAACCTTCTTGCCAATGATGGGAGTTCTTAAGTTGAAAAGCTTTGATCCCGCCGAACTGATGCAAAAGGAAGAGTTGCGGAAAAAGTTGTACCGTTTTGAAAGTTTCATCGAAGATGTTAAGTGTTTGTTGGCCAGATTTGAAGAGCTAGGCTACTTTGAGTAAAATCTGATGTTTAGGCGTAAAACTATATTGACCTGTGTTAATAACAAATATGGTTTCATTAGTATTATTTATCATTAAAACAGTACTAATTCAATGCAAATGCAAACATAATTGTATAAAACATAAAACACATATTTCATATTTGATAGTTTTATTTTTTCGATATGTTTGAATGCTTGCAATAAGTCAACTAAAATTGTTATCGTTCTGATAATATAATTTTAGCATATTAGAGGTTGTCAATTTAAGCTATGCCGTGTATCCTTACGAAAAGCACGACTCTTACGATATTTATAACTATTCTGAATATAGTTGTTTATACTGGAAGCCCTACTTGTTCAAACTTATCTAGAAACAAGGTACAATTACGTATCCAAGAAACCTGATAGCTCGAACTCTTTGACAGTGCGTTGTAAAAATGCGCGATATTTGGGATTCTCCACGTTCTCGCGTCGAAAACGATCTCCATTCTCTGTCCGTGAGTTCAGATCCTCAAGATTGTCGAAGCCCGCATCTTCCCGGAATATCAGCGGCGTTAGGCAAGTGGCCGCAATGACTCCTAGAGTGTATTAGATTATAAGATACTGTACATGGTATATGCTTTATTAGTACTCACCAATTAGGCTATTTTTAATTAGCTCAATGTTAATTTCTTTGAGAGTTGGAATGTGTCCTTGGTACTCAAGTTTTTCTAGAGTTTCTTTTAGTACGCGCTGATATTCATGTATTATAAACTTGAGGTGCACCTTACGTACATTCTCATTGAGAGAGCCAAATAGAAAATAGTTAAGATCAACAGCTGGCGAGCCCAGAAACGCCAGCTGGAAATCCAGCTGTAAGAGATTCAATAGATTATAAAACGCTCGATAATAAGAAAAAAGTACGTCTGGTCGAGGTCTTTTGACTACATTCAGCTTCAAATCATAAGTACATGCTTAATTAATTAAACCCCAACCTCTCACATTTCACGGATGCCAAATATGAATAAAATAGCTCATGTTAATCAAATCGATCTGTCAGATATCTTCAATTCATAAAAATGCACAAAAAGTTGAGGTTTCTCGCTTTAAGATTAAGAGGTATCTATACGTTCATACTAATATTTTGCTTTGTGTTGCTGAGTCAAGTAATATCATCATGTCTCCTACATACTTTTGTACAACTGCAATATACCCTCTTTTCTTTATCAATTTGGGAGGTGCTGACCTACTTACCGCAACGACATTATCGGGCTCCTTCGTTTCATTGTTAATATGAAACATTAGATTGTTGATCCAAATGTCGGCCATGTTGAATACTTTAAAGCCCTTCTCCTGCTCCTCATACATATGCACGGCGCTCTGGAGCACATTTTCGGCTAGCTTAAACATCTTCTCAGTGATCTGCTCAAAGCCCTTCCAGTGGGCAATCTCTTCAGCCACGCAGCGTATGTTCACCGGAAAGAAACTTAGAAAATCACGACGATCCGGATTGCGAGAGATGGGCGCTTCGTTGAAGAACTCCAGCACTTCGGGATTCTGCTTGGCTATGACAGCACTGCAGGCATGTAGCTTGGCCAGTTTCTCCACGCTGGGCAGCACATAGTCTAAGTTGAGTAGACGGCCGCGTTCAAAGTTTTCGTATCCGCTCAGTTGCATGTCCTCCAAAATGAGGAATGGCTCCGGAGTCTCCGTCGTGTAATAGCAGATGGGTGCAATTTTCGCCTTGTCGCCAATGGATTCGAGAAGCGCCTGTACCCGCGGCAACACTTCCTTATAGGTCAGGATCTCACGCTTGAACAGTTTGCTTCGCAGAGCTATGGCGCCCGTTTGACCCTTCGGATGATCCTTGACAAACACCGAAAACTTGCTCTTCACGTTGCCGCGCTGCAGATTGAAGCAGGCGCGATGCATTTCACTGGCAAAGCCGACAACAACATCGCCCACCTGGGCGCTTTTCACTAGCAAATCGCTAACGATGAGCGACTCCTCTTTGAAGTGCTCCTTCAGCACATCCTGCAGAAATTCCACGGTCAGCCACTCAGGTGCTTGGTAATTCTTCTTGCCGGTGCCCATTTTAATTAAACTCTTTTTTTTTTTTTTTTTCAAGTCACCTGACTTTTGGGAAAATATACTTTAATAAACAGCGAGCAGCTGAGCGCCAGCGGCTGTTGAGTTAAGCTGTTAACTGCAGAGTGTGACCGAGAGCGGGAGCGAGAGACGCCCGCACAGAAAAGCTCTCGCTGGCAACAACTCACGTGGCCACGGCCCCACTCGAAAAGCTCTCTCTGTTGTTAGCTCTCGTTGACATACGCTCCGTTTATCAGCTGACTGCCAGCAGAATAAAAAGAGAACGTGGCGCATGTTATGATAATACATTAGCAAATAAATTATAGTCGACTTGGAAATACCCTAAGATAATTACATATCTGTTCAGAATTACAGTTATCACTCGCTTGAGACGATCTTAGTTCGCAAAATATTTGCAATTCCTGCAAGCCGTATTGAGCAATATAATATATTATATATACAGCTGATAAAACTAATATTATATATATCCTAATATGCAGCTACATATTGATTTGTTACGAAAATTACTAGTTGGTGAAGTTATTCTTGTTTGTATAAATAAATTCATTGTTTTTGACAGATCAAAGTTAATGAACGACTTAGAATATCTTCAGATCTATCATTTTTATAGTGTAAATAGGTTGTGTTCAGTATGGTATGATGATTATATCGAAATGAATCATTCATTTGATAATCACTCATAAGTACCAAACCGAAAAATGTTTTGTGATAAGTCAAACTGGCTTCCTTATAATCAAAACACTTAGAAAACCGAACGGGGAGAATAAAAAAAAAAAAAACAAAACCAAAAATAAATAAGGAAGTGATCACTATGAAATACTCTAAAACTAAACTAAGTCTAAACAAATGTAAATTTATATATGTAATATTGTATGGCATATATGCAATCGTTAAGAATGTTAAAGATATATACTATTAGTACATATCATGTGCTACATATGATAATATATCTTTTGTCTATCTGTTTATATGGTTGATTATATGGTCTGCTGACAAATGCAGAGCATTTACTAGTCGATTGGCCCCAAGTGCATTATTATCAATTGTTTTCTATTTCGGTTGATTTTGATAAAATATTCAACCGACTTTGTCGCAGCTAAACAAAAGATAAATCTTCCAAGATAGCCAAAAGTGACTGCTATATTTACAGATAGGAGAAATTCGTCCAACAAGGGTAAGTAAATATAAATATAAATTTCTTAAAATTCTAATAAGCCACGTCTATGCAGGAATGGAAATATGCTTAAGGCGGCCCGCACATACAATGGATTTGTATAGACCTTGGCACGAAAGCGATCCCCATCTTCACCAGGCAGCATTAGCTTGGGCAGACTCGCCCCATTGTCTACGGGCAGTAGAATGAGCACCAGATGCATGAAGGTGGTAAAGTAACCTGCGGGTGGGACTTACTAAATAAAAACCTTTAATCGGAACAAGCTCCCGAATGAACTCACCCCAGAAACCATGCTTGAGCATGCTCATGTGCAGCTCCCTGAGCAAAGGCAACGGCTTGGCATAGTTCAGCAGTTTAAGGCATTGGATAAGATGTGTGTGATATATTCTAACAAAACAATCAAATTGTTTTGTTCTCAGACTATGATGCGAGGAGCATATGATCAACTCCCACAAATCTTGAGCGGGACTGCCCCATTTGCAGCGTTGGAAGTCCACAAAATGTATCTCCTTGATATCACAGGCCAAAGTGCTATTGAGTAAAATATTGCCAGACCAAAAATCCCCGTGATTAAGTACCTTAAATTCCAGTGGATCGTTGTTAAAGCAGCGCGCAGCAGATTGCACAAACTGATCCGCTGTCGGCTAAATATAAAGAGCATATCAAATTATAATATATATTGCCTATCTATTTACTTACAATTCTACTCGTGTAGAGCTCGGGATTGCTAAAGCCCCATGTGGCCATGGCCGTCTTATAGCTCTGTATTCGCGCCTGATACGACTTGGATCTGTGATAGTTGGCAGGCAGATAGATACGCTGAAAATCCTCCGGATAGGCACCATTACGCTGATGCCAGACCGCGCTGGCTGCATGGAACTCGGCCAGTTTCTCGAGCACTCGTTGCATTTGTTTCATATTGAAACCCTTGAGCCGATTGATATTGCTAAACTTTTTGGTCTTCAGATCCTCTAGCACCAGCGAGATGCGTCCATTCACATTCTCCGCCCAGTGGCACTTGGGTGAAAATTTAACAGATCTGCCCTGCTCCTGATAAAGCTGCTCCAGCTGTGGTATAATCAGCTCATACATTTGTTTCTCCTTCGGAAATATATTGAGCGTGTTGATATAACCTATGCCCGCGGCATCAGTGAGCATGGTTTTCATAATATACGACTTTTGCTGGGTGAATCCATCTATTTATATAGACATATGCATAACCATTATTAGGTCAGCGGCATTGGGTGTTTGCCGTATTTACCTTTATCTCACCTTTCATTTCAATGTCGATTATAATGCGCATTAGCAACGAGGTATAGCTCTCACATTCGCCAGGCGGCGAGGCCGGTATTATCGAGAGATTCAGTATTTTTCGAAATTCGGTTAGTTCACGTTTTAGCAATTTCTTAAAATAAGCCTCATTGATCCAGCTAGGTATATGGATGTGCACATCATTCGATTCACAGAATTTGTTGCTGTTATCGGGCATTCTGACTGATATGCAAGTGGGCACTGAAAGATCTGGTAACTGGCCTCGTTCTATACTGTTCTGTACGCTCCGACCAGCGAGACGCAACTGTTTGCATTCTTATCAAGCATGATTTTTCAGGCCCCTGTTTCGGTTTCTTTCAGGTCTACGTAGCACGAATATTATGTTAGCATGTAGGTGTTTCTGCCTAACTAAGGCAGGTGAGATTGGACGCTCTGGAAATCTTATCAGGTATTGCTCACTGAACGGGTTCTCCTTGTTCTATTCAACCGGTTCGCCAAGTGCTACATTAATTGACTGTGATAATAAGAGCGTAAGAGAGTCTTACAGAGAGCGCAGCCAATGTAAGAGCAACCCGTATTAGTTTTAGTCAAGCTTTGTATTTGTTTACTAGGTAATTCATCAGTTATTGATGAGCACTTTTATTATACTTATACACACTTTTGACATTCCACATAGCTAAAGTATTCTAACTTATCTCTGAACAAAACAGTCCTTAGTTTGGGTACACTTAACTTCGTAGTCTGCTATTATTATTCATTTTGTCTGTTACCATCAACACTTTTATATTTATCACCAATTAACAATATACATATATGCATTTTGTGCTACAAGGTTACAATAGCAAGCGTGCAATGTGAAGCCAGTTCAAACTGGACTCAATTAACTCACAGTTTTTATTTCATAAACAACATACGAGGGTTGCCTTAAAATAAAGTGCCCTGGCAGCATTTAGTGTTAGAATCCATTGGAAAGCTTGAAATTTCGGTTCGAAATAATTTCTCGCTTTTCTAACTTCATGAACTTTTGATTTTGTCTCGAAGTTCGAGCAAGTGGCTGGCACTTTTTCCACTTATGTACAATTTTAAATATATATTACATCTTATATGATTTTATATTTATCAAAACAAGATAATTTGATGTATTTTCTGAGAGTACATCTCAAAGTTATTGTCGAAAAATTCGTATATCTATTAAATAAACATGACTTTAGACGAAGTCAAATAGTTTGACTCAACTCGTTCACGAGAGAAACAAAACTAATTGTTTCTCATCATCTAACTGATCTTTTAGAGACTCTCATTATATCATATTTCTAAATAGTTCTCTTTTTGTTTAGATCAACGAGAGAACAACAAAACCTGCTTCAGTTCGATTGCATCACAGTCGCAGCCATTATTTCACAGCACGTTAAAATTGATAATAGTGTCGAACAGTGTCGACGAAAAGTAAATCCTTTTAAGACTTCTGATTTTTTTACATTCTAATCATCAACTTTAAACAAACAGCGTTGACAGTAAAAAGCATATAAGCACTTACCCTGTTAAGCTGATTTTAGGTGTTGTATTCAATTTAGAAATCAATATTTCACTCATAAAAATATTCTATTGTCAAATATATATTTTATTTAAAGGGTTTTTTTTTCAAAATTTTTCGATGTTTTTCACAATTATATTTTTATAAAATTTAAGATAAGGATATAGGATCAACGCAACTTATGGGATTGACTCAAAGGCTGTGGTTAAATTTTAAGCCATCCTAGGTCTTTTTTCAAAAAAAAATAAATAAAAAATCACCATTTTTTTATATAAATACTGAAAGATGTGGCTACGCATGGCTAGCTTTTAATTTCCGCTGTGTTTTTATCAAAATTTGAAGGATCGTAGTAAATGATAAGGGAACACGTACTTAAGAGATAAAGATAAGCAATGTCTACAAAAGGTTTTTTTTATAGGCAGGTGTAAGACAAACAGTTTTATTCATTCTGTTATATAGTCATCAAAATTAAACAATCCACGATTGTAATAAAATGGATACAAATCCTTCATAATATTGGCATAAATGGGATTAGACGTCAGGCGAAGCCGTAAATTTTCTCCTTCTTCAGTTTCAGCCATCAAAGAATGAATATTGCTGTCCTTATCGGTAGGAAACACAATTAGAGGTAGGTGATTTGTAAGGGCAAAGAAGGCTAGATACAGAAAAAAAAAAATAAATTGTTAACATGAAGGCTTCAAATAATTATCATGAACCTTACCATAAAAAGAGTTGTTCTTTTTGTACAGGGAGGCTTGTAGATCACGCAACTTAGGCAAAGGCTTCTTATATTTTAGCAATTTCAGACACTCTATTAAACGCTCCCAATAAATGCAGATAAAGTGATCAAATTCCTTAAGCCTTATGTCGTTTGCAGCTGATAACGTTATGAAAAACAACAGATCCAGAGCTGGACTACCCCATTTGCAGATTTGAAAGTCTACCAGGATCAGTTGATCTATATTTCCGTCAGGCAAATAATTGCACATCAAATTGCTAGACCAGAAATCTCCATGGGTTAAGGTATTGAAATCCTGGGGATCAGTTTCCAGAGTACTAACACACATGGCCCAATACTGTTCTGTAGTGGGCTAATAAACGATAAATAGGTTTATTCTGATTATTTATGGTACTTTACTTCACTACTTACATAATTCTTGATATACTTTTCGGCATCCTTCATGCCCCATGTGGCCATTGCCTTTTTATAGGACACCTCCTTCATCTGAAAGCCTTCTTTAATGAACTTATCGGTGTTGAGTGAAACAAATCCCTCATTAAATTCGCTGGGAAAGGGACCATTTTGCTCCTCATAAACTGAGCTGGCTGCATGAAATTCGGCTAGCTTACGTAAAGCACATGTCATATGCACCATGTCCAGGCCGTTAATGCGGTCCACATTTCGGAATTTCTTAACACCCAGATCCTCGAAAATGAAGTGAATGTAGCCCTCGCGTTCCTCAGTGTGCAGACACTTTGGCGCAATTTGTATATCCTCACCGGCTGCCTTATAGAGTGCCTCGAAAGCGTGCAAATATGTTTCGTACATCTTCAGCTCCTTCGGGAACAGGCCAAAATTCTCTATTTCAGCCCCACCCCGTTCGCTAGGCAGCATCGTCTTAAAGATGTAGGTCTTTGTTTTTGTGCTGCCATCTAAGAAAGCGAACAATTTATTATTAAATTTAATTTCACAAAATGTTGAAATGTTTTTCTACCTTTCATTTCCAAATCGATGTAAATGCGCAGCATAATGGAGGTAAAGTTCTCGCCGGGCGGTATGGCCGCCACAGGCGTAAATTTGAGCACCTTGACATGGTTCGGTTCGTCCTTATCGAGCACGGTTTTGAAATACTTTGCAGTGATCCAATCGGGTATGACAAGATGTTCATTTGGGTTAACTATTTCATTCGATTCCGACATTCTTACAAGATTTCAGCTCGACTGATCCACAGAGAGTCTAGTTGGGCACTGGGCCAATGTTTTGTCAAAGCTCTTGACAAAAAACTTTTTGTACAGCCGATCAACTCATTTTTTATCAGTATAATAATACACACTTTTATACATATATATTTTTTATTATATATATATACATAAGTTATCATAGTGTAGCTTGATAGTTGTTTGCTTTTTTGTGTGCTGCTAATTTGCATGTCATTCGCGTGGTAATATGCAAATAGACGCACTTACTTATTTGTATTTTCAGTAGTTAATTATAGATTATATATGTTTTTTAAAGATCTATCTACATTTCTCATTGAAGGTTCATTGATGAAATTCTCAAGCATTTCAAAGTACGTATATGTATATCGTGAAACATATACATACTATTATTAACACACAATATCTTGAATCGGTTTAGGTAGAGTACACATAGAAACTGTGTATTTTTATTGTTTTTTCAGATAACCTATCTGTATTTGTACGTGACTAAAAGATAATTGAAAATACATATGTACATGCACACATAATATAATTGGCAGCAGGCTTTAATCAACTTGATAGGCGTATCAATAAAAAATCAAAAGATTTGTTTATTTTGCAACTCATAGAAATGGAGTAAAAATCACGGTGAATCTGATTTGTCTGGAAGAGTTGTGAGCACTGCATGATTATGTATTAAAAAGTGGTTTTCTAACCTAGACATACTATTGACGGCATTAGTCATTCCTTCAGATTTTGACTTGTCATGACTTCTTGGAAAATCCTTGCTTTATATTCTTAAGCTTTAGAGTAAATAAATAAATAATCTAACGGCCTTACCTTAACTTAATCCGTTTAAAAACAGCAGATTTCTCTTTATGGGTTTCTTCAAATTTCTTTAACTCTAACTTTAAAATGCCGCTGAACCTCATGCGCCAAGCTTTGGAGTGAAACTTAAAAGCAAATTGTGCTGTATTTATGGTGTGAGAATAGCCAAAGCTCGGAATGAACTCTTCTTCTTGTCAAAAACTCAGTTCTCCAAACCAGTTTCGACAAAAACTTTGGGAAATTGTGCGCGAGAATCCAAAAGATTAATTAAAGAGCACTTAAAATTAACATAAAACTACTTCTTAGTTTGATTTTACGACTTTATTTTTTCAAGAGGTAAGTTATTCAAAGAGATGCAAAAGATTCTAATCTTATTTTGGTCTTGTACAAATTTAAATTTGCAGTTTGCACTGATCTTAGAATATTACATTTTATTAAACTTCTTTGGTGGAAGGTGCATTTCAAAGATCTTTTAGGTGAAGAATTAAGTTTTGTCCTATTTGTTTTAAACTTATTTGCAAAGTTCTAAAGAAGAATATAATGAATACGTTTCTACAGTGCTTTTGGGATATTCCACCCGCGACAGTGGTAAATTGGCGGAAAACGTTTATATGAAAGTTGTTTATTTACCGTCTGATCATTTTCAATAGCATGGAAAAAAGCTCAACGCTCAAAACTTTTTGAGATAATTTATTTTAAAGCATGCGCACCACTAGTATATATATACTACACTAAATTTATTTACTTAACTATGAAAATTCTGTAAGAATTTAATAGATTAATAGAAATCAAGCCCACCTTAAGGGATATTAAAACTGTCTTACAAACCAAATCTAAGGGTAACCCGTTGATTCAAACATCGAATCTTAAGTCGAACCACTGATCTCATCCTTTTATACTCTGAACTCATTGAAAATGTGTAAAACGGGTATATTGGTTTTGCGGAAATGTATGTAATAGGCAGGCGGAAGCAAATCCAACCAAATAAACTATATATTCTTGATTCGCTTGAAATTTGTAATGTAGAATATATACTGATCTTATATCTTTCGTCTTAAAGATATCGTCACCAGCCCTTGCCACAAATCAAATAAGCATTAAAATTTAAATCATAATTAAAAAGTCAGTATTTTTGAGTATTTACGAATATTCTATAATCAAAGTAAGCTAAAAAATACATGTCATTGAAAAAAAGTGTGCTAATAATGGCAAGCCCCCCTTTTAAATTTATTTCCATAACTGCATTTGGTGTTGGTGAAGAGGGTTCAGGGTATTCCCTAGTCGGGAACCTTCAGGCAGAGCCTCTTACTTGTTATTATCAGAAAATATAGCTGTTGATATCAATTATAAAAAGATTTCCAAATTCAACATGCAAATTTTATTATGTTATTATATTTGATAGCTAATCATGCGGCAAAATAATTATAAATCAGCTTTCATTTTTGTTTGAACGCATATGAAAAAAGAAATACTTAATGGAATGTACAACGAGTTTTGTGAATACAAATTCATGAATGATTTTTAAGGTTTGTTTCACGTTTACAGAAAAGTTCGAACACAATTCTGAATTAATCACATGTCTATTTACTTGCATACATTTTTAAAGGTTTATAAAGTTTTGCTTATAAATTATTTATATGCTTGTGAAATACAGAGTATATGGATTTTAAAATTCAGTCTGACGTCACAAGTTAAATAATCGCAAGTCATTTCTTGTCATACTCTTCAATAGATCCATAGATAATAAAACTACGTATGCGTTTATATCGAACAACATAAGCATGACCAAGCGTACACATTTTCAAATAATTTTGATTGCAATTCGTGTCATAGAAAAATAAAAAAGTATATATTAAAGATTACTATAACCTTATCGTATGGATGAGAAGTTTAAGCCCGGCGCTTTCCTTATTTAACTTACCCAAAAAAACTGAATAATTGAGGCCTATGACAGCAAAATTGGGTTGCTTTAATGTTTTCAATGTAGGCCAAGCTGTTCAGAGACTTAAACTTAAACTTAAGTATGTCAGCACGTAAGGGTATACACGCTTCGGTCGGGCGCACATAGAATTGTTATCTTTGGCACCTCAATTAAATACCAATTAGTTTATGCGCGTTCTGCCAGTCATGGTTATTATTAATTTCAGGGGTGTGTTTGGCTTTGAAATAAGCCAATGCATAGATAATGCTCGTACTAACGACATAGGAACACACGCGCTTTTCAGTACAAAGTACAGGAAATTGTTTTATTTCATTTATATGATGTAATATTAGTATCACACAATGATTAAACATATATAAAGCTAATATTCCTATAGCAGCCCCTTGTTTTCAAAGAACGGATACAATTGCAGCATCGCCTTGGCGTAGTAGGGATTGATAAAGCTCTTGTAGCGAAAGGCATCGCCTTCGGGTCCCGGGGTCATCATCATATCAATGCTGGAGTCCTTATCAGAGGGCAGGAGCACGGCAACCAAAACTCCATTCGCCGTCAAAGGGCCTGGCAATAAGCAAACAGTTGTTCAGCTAAGAGATTAATTAATGAAATGCAGCTAACTTACCCCAATTGCCGTATTTTATCATCGTTACGTGTAATTCTCGCAGCGTTGGAATGTGCTTCGAGTATTTCAGCAATTTGAGGCATTCCACCAAACGCTCGTGATATATTTTGATGAAATGATCGAATTCCTTGATCTTAATGTCAAGCGCAGCCGAGGTTGTAATGAAATACCAAAGATCTTGTGCTGGGGAGCCCCATTTTCCAACTTGCAAATCCACAAATAATGTGCGCTCCACCGATCCCTCATCCGCGAACATTATATTGTTGCACCAAAGATCGCCATGATTTAGACAATTGAACTCGGTCTCGTCCACTTTGTTCAAGGCAATTGCGTTATCAAAAAACTGTTTTACAGATGGAGCCATCGCAATATATTTCTCTGCATCCGGCAGTTGCCACTCTCTCATGGCTTTGAAATACTGCTCCATACGCATTTGTCCAAGCGCCTCAAATATTGGCCGATTATTCTCCATATAAAACGTTTCATAGTACATATCGGCGTAGGGTCCGTTCTGTTCAAAATTCACCGCTGAGGCGGCATGCAGCTCGGCCAGTTTACGTAGCACCCGACGCATATGGGGCATGTCCAATCCCTTGAGGCGATCGATATTGTGAAATTTCTGACGCTTTAGATCCTCCAGCACGAGGGTTATGCGCTCCGGAGTGTTTTCAACGTGCACGCATTTGGGCGCCAGTTCAATGTCCAATCCCGCCTCTTTGTAGAGCTTGATATAGTTAGGAATGTGCACCTCGTACATTTGTTTTTCTTTAGGAAACAAATTCATGCCCGCTACAATATCGCCGCCCTTATTCGCATCCAGCATTGTCTTCAATATGTATGATATCTGCTGCTCACTGCCATCTATGGAATAGGCGAAATTTAATTGACTTACATAGACACGACATGGAGAAAGTTATGAGACCAACCTTTGAGCTCAATGTCGATGACGACACGCACCATAATCGATGTGTAGTTTTCACCGGGTTGTGTTGCCGCAATGGGTGTACAGTTTTTTATGGTTACAAAGTCGCTTACATCTTTCTCGAGGATGGGACGAAAGTATTCCTCATTTATCCATTTGGGAATCACCAGAAACTCGTTGGGATTCATGGGCTTACTGGTGTTATTGAGTGACATTTTCTGCAAGAGTGGAAAGATATACATTTTTAATTGTTCACGTATTTAAGATCTTAGCAGATCGCTAGGTCATTTGACACCATTCAAAAATTCTAACATTATTAATTAATCTTGAATAGAATAAGTTTATCTTTCAAACCTCATTCATAATTTATGTACTATTCGTATTCTAAATCATATTTTATCTTCATATAATATAAATTTTTTATACAATAATATCTTGAACAGAACACAGAAATCTCTCAGACAGGAAGTACAAATTAGTTTTATTTCTATGTGCTCATGCACAAATCGATCTGTAGTTTTAATTGAATTTTACTAACGTCAATAGGCTATATAAATTTAGATTTAATTAATATTCCAAGCGTAGAGCACGAGAAACAAGTGTCCGGCGTTTTCAAACGCGAAATAAATACTGAGCGCCAGTTGACGAACATCAGTTTATACAGTACTACGGAGAACCGAGGTCTGGGATTGTGGCTGCCTATAAAGCAAACCGGTTGTGTGTGAAAATCAGTGTTTAGTATTTGAAGGTATACCTAGCCAAATACATGGTACGTCATTAACTATGCTTAACTGATTGTAGTAGCTTTGTACATAGAACCATTGTTTTCGTTCTAAATTCGTCAGAGTAGGGACTCATATTGGTTGGGTTCGGCAGGGTGATCGTGAGCTTGACAAAGAGTATTCGCCCCAGTTTATCAATTGGGCGCGTGCGAAGCCGATTGTGGTTTCTGCTCGCCTTGCTAATAAACATTAATTGATTTGAACATAAACAAACGAGTATGTATAAGTAAGTTTGAAAGTGTTGAGGCAGTGCACTTACCGTGTAGATTCAAGGATGACATATAAGGGGTATGCCAAGCAGGCATCTCTAAAAAGATTTTACATATTTGTTTCACAATAAAAGTTACACAGTTGATTTTGCGTGGTATCCTAGAAGAAACAAGACCTAAGCACAGGGTATTTTCTTGTCGAGTACTCTGCAGTATTTGTAACAGATCTCATGTGACATTGTATGGAAAGCGTAAAATTAAAACGCATGATGACTAAACATTTTGAATTCATTTAAGTATTGGATACAACGGATATATGGGTTTATATTTCTATATTTAGTGTTTGGTATCAGCTAGACTGCTATTATTTGTTTTAATTGCATTGATAAGGAACAGCTTTGTATAATTAAAACTACTGATGACAACGCTCAAAAATGATTATCTTCTATCCGTTACAGCCATGCAAAGTCCATAAACTTGTTCCTTATTGTTACAAGCTCATGTATATTTGAGAAATTATCTTGTAAATAAAAACGATTTCATAAAAATCGCAGTTTTTAACTTTGGTACTACAATTATTTTCAAAGTTAAGTAGTTAGTCCTCTATCAGAAGTCCTTTATTCCATTTCCAATCCCTTTGCATTGAAGGAATTTTAAAGGATTTTAAACAAAGTCGCCTCCTTGTCCAGCCTCTCATATTTAAATGGGCACCTTTATAAGACGGATGGAACATGTGAAGAGATCAATTTCAGTTTTTCCTGTCATTTTTTATCGTTACGAGGCACCATATAAATATTTCGAATTTCACCTTCATTTATTGTCATCAGCGTATTGTCTTTGAAATGAAAATTGTTTGGTTATCGATAATGATATCTATTCGTTTTGTCAGCATTAGCTAAATGCCGGCATACAAGAAACCTCCTTACATTAGCGCAATTATAGGGTAGTGCGTTGTCTTATATCTGTCCATCTTATAACTATTTCTAATCACAATTCACATAGTGTAGCAAAACACATATTTATGTTATGTGTGGGACAAATATATATACTGAAAAATTCGTTGTAATTGAAAAGGGGGCTTGAGAACGGACTCCCATTTGGTGTATATGTATGTACATACGTATGTACACGTATGTACATACGTAGTACATTTGGAACATTTTATGTGATGCTACTTCCACAAATATATTTAATAAACTAACACTTAAATTAATTGACAATTTCATATCACTTTTTTTTTGCAGGCGAATGCCCTACTGTACTATGGGGTCCTTCTATCTAACGCATAAAAGGAGACATTTCCGATAAGTATGTATATTCCTGATCAGCATCAACAGCCGAGTGGATAAAGCCATGTCTTTCTATTTCTAAGCTAACTAGTCTGTCATGAAACTTTGCAGAGATCCCCCTTTGTCATTATATCATATAGCTGCCATATAGCTGTTGAAGAGTAGGTTTTTGTATGAACAATTTTTGTGTTTATCAAGATATCTTAATCACACTCGCCATTTATATTTTTTATTATGTTCCCTATTTTTATGCAAAATCTTATTAACATCGGACTACTACCTCATATAGCGTCCATAGGAACGATCGGTCTAAAAATAAGTTGTAAATTCTTTGTTTTTCAAGATATTTTAGCCAATAGCGGGATTAAACTTTGTCTCGGGAAGAGGACTATGAGCATTATGTTAAGGTTGGATTTGCAAGGGTATGAAATCTTCGGCGTGATAGCCCTTCGTTCTCATATATATATATATTTTTTTTACCTCGGATTAATGCCTTTTTTTAAGGTTTTATATTTCTGCATGCGGCCGGCTGGCACTTGACTATGGGTTTTTTCTAAAACTCCTTCCAACAAGAAAAACCGTTCTACATTTCAGAAATGCTGAGTTCACAAACTTGCAATTCAAGATAGTACGGATAGACACAACTATTCCACGGGAAGAAACTGGATGAAAAACTTAAGTCTAAAATTTTAAGAACAAAACTTACCAAAGCCAAGGCTATGATTACGACACGCTGAGGTATTTTTTAATAGTTGAAAAATAACATAATAGACCTCTGAAAAAAATGTTCTCTTCCACTATAACTGTTTTATTTTTTATTTCGTATAATAATAATACATTTTTAATATGGCGTGACCAATTTGAAGAATTATTTGTGTTTATATAATTTATTACCATTTGGTAATTACTTCCAGTCGAGCAGACCGCGATTATCCAACCATGGCAGAATTTCGGACATTACCTGAACATATTTCTGATTGGTGTACATGGCGGCCTTCACCTTGGACTCGTCATTTCCCAAATTGGCATTGTCGGTCTTGTCCAGCATGACAACTGGTAGCACCTTGGACACGACCATATAAGCTATAAGAAAGGGCATTATCGAAACGTTCTCCCATTGTTGAGGTCTTAGAATACGAACCTGCCAATCCATTGCGCAAGAGAGCAGCGTGCAAATTCTTCAACTTGGGCAAAGGGCGATGATATTGCAGCAGCTTAAGATTCTCCACCAAATGATCGAAATAGAAGCGAACCATATAATCAAATTTGACGGTTTTAATATCTGGCGCTGCTGAGGAAAGTATCAGATAATATAGATCATTCGCCGGGGAGCCATATTTGCCAACTTGAAAGTCGACAAAAAGCGTTTCCTTGATTTTGCCAAAGGCATCATATAGAAACATTATATTGAGGTTCCAACAATCGCCATGATTGAGCACATTGAACTCCCGCATGGAAACCTGCTGATCCTGTAGCAGACGATCAACCAAATACTCATCACTTTTGGCCTATAAGAAGTGCCTAAGATTAAACGTGGAATGCTACAAGCTTGTGTTCCGACATACCAATTTCTCATAGATCTTTTGACAGTTCTTCCACTTCTTGAGCTGCGCCAGAAATGCACCCGAGGCATTAAACTCCTGCAGCAGCCGACGATTGGCTTCGCTGAACACCCCCACCGTAAACTCTTCTCCAAACATGCCATTTTGCTCTACATAGCAGGCGGAGGCTGCATGAAAAGCGGCCAACTTCTCTAGCACCTGCTGCATATGATCTAGATTCAGACCCGCCAAGCGATTGGCGTTCTTGAAACTCTTCACTTTTAAATCCTCGAGCAGCACATAATCAACTCCCAAATCCTGATCTATTTTATATGCCTTAGGTGCAAATTTGATGGTTTTGCCAACATCGGCATAGAGCTGCTCGAATTTGGGTAGAATGGTATGATACATTTTTTCCTCCTTCTGGAAGAGACGCAACTTGCTGAGTATTGCAGCCATTATTTCATTATTATGCTGAGCCTTCAGCACAAAGGACACGCTCTTGGTGCTGTGATCTGCGGTGGGCACAATAAATGAATAAAGGATTTACATGTTGCTTCCACTTACCGAGCAGCTCGACTTCGACCAGCAGGCGCACCATCAGAGCGGAATAGTTGTCACCAGAACTCGTTGGCTGTGGTGTTACAGATAGTATCTTCTCAAAGTCTCCAATCTGTGCACGTACTGCATTCTCCAGCGAGATTCTGGGCAGCCAGGGGGGCAAATTGGGATCCGCTGCCTCAGCGTGTCCATTCGTGTGTGAGGGCTCTGACATTTTGGTACTACAATAGATTATGGCATTGTCATCGATCCCAAATTTAACGACATTAATTTAATCATGTGCAATAAATGTCTTGTTGAATTTATGCTTATACGTAGAAGCGATAAGCGCCTTAAATATTAAATGCTTCCAAACATCCAGACAAATCAAGAGTTGAAAATACGCTCAACTACTATCAGCTGATTGTGGTGCTTAGTGTGTTGGAATCAGCATTTAAGTTAATTGATAATTAGTTATACTAAATCGGGTTTCTAAAACAACATATTCTATCCTATAAATACCCTTGCTCACAACTGACAATTATAGACCATAATTAAATACATGAAGGCGCTCCCATATGCAATTTAAATATCATCCATTGTCCCACCCAGTTTTTTCTGGATCCAACCTTTATGACATTTTATAGCATTAAACAATTACGTATTCTATAATATAATTCTTTTGGCAGTTCTCTGTAAAAGCTGTGATGATGATATAATTTTTATACAGGAATTCGATTAGGAAAAAAACAAAATAATGGAATAATAGGATAATGGTCTACACTTTTGAACATAAATGCAGGTTTTTTTCGATTACATAACCAACAAATGCCGCAATAAAGTTTTTGGATTCTCTTTTATGAGTTAAACTTTTTGAGTTAAACTGGGAAAGTGGGATATTTTTGTGCTGTTATTTGTTATTGATTGGTTTTCACAAACATGGTGCTCTCCAAATCTGTCCACATTGATTAGGTCATTATCAAGCCAAATGCCATATAATTATGTCGGACACAACTCATAAATCAGGTCACATGCCAGCTTTTACAATATTAAAATCAGAATGCTCGTATATTTGGTTAATGAAAACATGCTTAAATAGTAGGTTTCACTTGTTAAAAACGTTTAACTTTTCACTGTTTTTTTTTTTGTGTTTGCAGCCCATGAGATCACACGCCATCCAAGTTTCAAATCATTTACTAACAATTATATGTTGCTTTTCCTGTAAAAACTTTGCGATTCTTTGTTTCATTTAATAACAACTATATCTGGTTTTTTATTGAAAAATTGTTACGTTAGGACTTCTAAACTGCAACTGGCACATAATAGAACTGTTTCAAGAGTCTTGAAAACATTATCTCAGCAGACAGCAGAAAAGTTGATTGGGACACAAACCTCTTTCCTTAATTGACAAAATGAGAGACTCGAGTGATAAATTGCTAACACAATCGAGTGCAGTTCGGTCAACGGTTGATTTCAAATGAGGACCGGGCGTTACGTGCGACTTTCTGCCCGGCCCGATTTGGCATTAGCCAAAGAAATGCCTTATCGCGTGTGTTCAATTAGAGTTGATTTTGTAAATGTTATTCGCCAAAACCTGGCATATAAGCGTCTCTCACACTGTAAAACTTGGCCAGTATGATTTTTAAATAAACATTTGATATGGGCGCTGCCAATTGTTGAATTGATAAGGCAGGTAAGGTGGGTCTTTGCACTTCCACTATTATCGCTCTTTCGCTTTGTGCTCTAATTATTGGGTGATTCTTTATTAATTGCTTCTGCTCGTGTCTCATTCACTGTGATTCAGTTGGACATGTGATAGACAACAATCTACGTTCTTATATATACTTATATTGTTTGTGTGAGGGCCGCCCTTTTATTTTCGTAAACATATTTGGTAATACCATAAATGGTAAGTGGTTCAAGCTAAATGCCTCTTATACGTTATTGTTGTGATTTACTTCCAACACCCACTTCAATTTGTAGCTTCTTAAATAGTTTTGATACTCTCCGCATTTACACTTGGCATATTATTAAAAGCATGTACTGAAATTAAAAGCTAAACCAGGTACCTTCCGGTACTTTTTGTCTTCTGGAACTTCTGAAATATGTAGATGCTCTTTTAACTATAGGAACCTGTATCCTTACATTTAAATTATACCAACTGGTATCTCCCGGCAAATTTGAGATATTGCATACAAGAAAAGTGGATTATGCGAAAAGTGTCAAACCCATATAAAAAAATAAAAAAAAACCCATATATAAAAATTCCAACATACTTTATGGAAGCGGATCGGTTGGTAAGCAAAACATTTTCCCAATTGCGGGGGGAATCGCTAAATCACATATTCACTAAGTTGTTATCTTAGGCAAAGAAAGAAAGAAAGAAAAATCATTGAGCTGCGTGCGACACAATGCGTGCAACTGGGCATATAGAGAGCGCAATGTTGGAAGCTGTGCTCGTGGATACTTGAGTAACTTTAGGTACGCGACGCGTTGATTATGATAATACTTGATGAATGAAACCAAATGATTTAGCTTAAGCTCATATTGCATGGGGGAGCGCAGAAATAAATGAGATCAAATGCCATTGAGCTGTAGTGAAGCAATTGAAAGTTCACAAAATAGGTTGCTTCCTGTGCAGGCGAACCTGCCTTATTCTGGAAAACTATATCATTAGTTCACAAATCACCGTAAAGCAATGCACTGAACTCCTCCGAATCAGGCTTGTTCCGGCTGTATACAAACAAGTACTACCTACTATCGCCCCACTCTAGCTCTCGTAGTCATCTTTCTGTCATAGTTCTTCTTATAGGTGCTGTTAAACTCAAGACTATCAAGACCCACCAAATGATCCATGTTCCTAATCTACATCTACATCTTCATTAAACAAATTATAATTTGAAGCGAGATTTAATCGTGAGTGGACCTAACACCTACAACATAACCAATATAAATATACAAAAGACTCCTGCGACTAAATAAATACTTGAGATTCTTTACAATCAGAAATCACGTACCCAAAAAGGATTTTACCCACTTATGCTACAGGGTATTTTCCAGTCATACATTCCAAAATTAGCAATTGATTATTTTTGCTTATACCTATTACAATGTTCAAATGTTTGCGATATGTATATGTATATTTAATTTAGAGATTTTCTGTTTTTGTTTTTTGCTTCATTTCGTTGCGTTTTGTTTTAATTTGTTCAATATTGATTGGTATTTATTAATGTAAATAGAAATCTGATATCATATATATATTATTTTGTGAATGTTAATTGGAAATGTCTCGTAACATTGACTGTGCTTTCTTCAAACAACTCTAAATCTGTTATCTAATCCGATTCACACATAAAATGTATTTGATAATATTCTTCGGAATAATCTAATACCGATAATGGAAATTATTGATAAAATTGTCGATAGCAGAAATGTTTACGATTTTTGTATAAAACGCTTCTAAATATAAATTTATATTTCGAGAGCGCCACGATTGTGAAGCCAGGGCAACACCGCTTGGATATGTTTCCGATAGCGTGCGTTGGAATAGAGCAAGGTTTTAAACTCGTTGCCCTCAGCGGAATCACTCAGAAAGTTTTCAATATTGGCGACTTCTGTGGGATCCAGTAGAATGCCGCTCATGACGGTCGTTGCGGTAATAAAGCCTACACTTGGAAGATATAGTATAGTAAACTAAATGTTAATTTTTAGCTATACTTACCCCAAATGCCATGCTTGAAAAGCGATAGGTGTATATCGCGAAGCGTAGGCACGACTTTCGGATATTTCAGTAGTCTTAGATTTTCCGAGAGATTTTCATGATAGAACTTGATATAGTAATCGAACTTGGTGAGCTTGTCCTCGAATTTGGTTGAGGACAGCAGAAAGTAGTACAAATCCTGTGCCACCGAACCGAATTTCGGTAGTTGAAAGTCCACCAGATAGGTTTCCTTGATTTTTCCAAAGGAGTCGTGTGAAAACATCATATTGTTGCTCCAACAGTCACCATGGTTGAGTGCATTAAATTCGTTGGCATCCATGTTAGCCTTTTTAAAGAGTTCATCATTTAGCTTCGGTTGCAGAGCTCTCTAAGGAAATAAATACATTATTGACCAAATTTGTTAGCATATACACGAATTGCTTGTACAAGGCTTACCACTTTCTCTATATACTCCTCATTGCCCTCGTAGGTTGCACAGCATTTGAGAAAATTCTGGGCCATTTGCTTGTTCATCTCGGATATCATTACACGGTTTTCTTCCTTGTAAAAGCCAACCATAAGCTGATCCGGATAGACACCCTTGTTGGCCACACGCACTGCGGACGCGGCATGCCACATGGACAACTTACGCAGAGCAGCTTCGGTGTGCACCTGGTCCAAGCCCTCCAGCCGATTGGAGTTCTTGAAACCCCTGGGCGCCAGATCCTCAAGTAGTAAATACTCTGTTTCGGCACCCTTAACAGTATATGCCTGAGCACCGAATTTGATGTCCACACCAGCGTTACGATACATTTGTTCCATCTCGGGCACATGGATATTATACATATTGCGTTCTATATCAAAGATACTTTTGGTATGCTCCATCATTGCCTGAAACATTTCCATTTGATGCGGCACCTTTAGCATATAGGATACGGACTTGACAGCGCCATCTGTATTGTGTCAGATTCTAACTATTTTAGGTCTAATTGAGCATAAATCAATTCAATTACCCTCCAGCTCGACGTCTATATTTAGACGCAACATGACCGTCGAGTAGTTTTCGCCAGCCGCCGATCCGCTGTTCACCTTGAAGCTCTTGATTTTTGAGAACCCCTTGACCGATTCTTTGAGCACATCCACAAATTTTTCGGCCCGCACCCAATCGGGCACGTTCTTGGGGGATGCATCTGGTTTGCTGGCCTCGGCGGACATTTTTAAGTTTTATTAATTTATCAAAATCAAAATGTATCACGACGTCGTTTAGCTTGACGTTGTTGTGTTTCCGACGCTGTCCAATTGACTTTCTACTGGATCGACGGCTGTTGCAGCTCTGTATATTTCGCTTCTTCTCTTTTGTTTGCAAAAGCCCTATTGGGTGTATTTGTAGGCGTGGCACTCTCTTCTTTTATCAATCTGCTTCTCTTCTTTTTGAGTATCAGAGTCAGGCAATCAAACGCTGCCAAATCTAACAAAAAAGCATTGAGCTTTGAGCTTTGAGTGAAGTATAAATTTGATTGTATACCCCTATCTTTCGTAGATTGGCAGAGCGTTATTATCATGTTAAAGAGCTTATTTGATGGTTTTATTCTTACTTTAGCAGAGTTCAAGTACACAAATTGCTGATATTGTTGGGCTTGATAAAACGAAGTTTATCAATTTTTAAATTCTACATAAGGTCTCACTTTAAAAGATTGAACATAACACTTAAATGAGAGATTTGAGATATGTTTCGAACTTCAAAGATTTTGATCTGACTAAACTTTTAATGCAAAATTTGATGGATATTGAATTTCCACAATGATAAAAAAACAGTTTTTATATCCCAACACAAAACATCATTTTATTATAACTTGAGTAAATTTCTTATCAACGTAGAAAACATTTAATGGTCACGTATTTTTTAAGTTGTGACTCATGGAAACTGGTAGCGCGAAAAATCACCTATCGATCACTTGATATGTGTTCTATATATATTACATATTAATAGATAGAAATGCATATTAGAATCCTTCAATGGCTCCACGATTCAACAACCAAGGCAATATGGCCTGCATATGCTTACGATATCGTGGATTGGTATAGAGCAAGGTCTTAAAGTCGGTGCCTTCTGTAGAGTCACTGAGGAAGTTCTCAAAGCTGGCCGTTTCTGTGGGATCGACCAGAACGGCGCTCATAACACCTGTGGCGGTCAGGTATCCTAGAAAATAATAGTAAAATTGATCAGATAAAGTCATAAAATATAATTATAAACTTACCCCAGAAGCCATACTTGTAGAGCGTCATGTGCAATTCGCGTAGTGTAGGCGGAGTTTTCGGATACTTCAGTGTCTTTAGGTTTTCCACAAGACTATCATGATAGAACTTGATGTAGTGATCGAATTTCGTCAGCTTATCCTCGAGCTTAGTTGAGGACAGGAGGAAGTAGTATAAGTCCTGTGCTACAACGCCCCATTTCGGAATTTGGAAATCGACTAGACAAATGTCCTTGATTTGGCCAAAGGCGTCGTGCGAAAACATCATATTGTTGCTCCAAAAGTCACCATGATTGAGAACATTGAAGTTATTATGATCTACCTTGGCCATTTTGAATATTTGATCAGTGATGTTGGGCTCCAGTGCTTTCTAAGAGACGATTTAAAAAATCATGAAATGTCATCAAGACTTTGTTAAGGAAACTTCTTTGCTCCACTTACCAGTTTTTCTATATAGTCCTCGTTTCCTTCATACATCTTAACGCTGCTAAGAAAGTTCTTTGCTAAACTATTATTCATCTCAGCCAGCATTGGCCGCAGTTCCTCCTTGAAGAAACCAACGGTCAAATTCTCTGGATAGGCTCCCTTGGTGGCAACACGCATCGCGGAAGCGGCATGCCACATGGATAACCTTTTCAGAGCACACTCTGTATGTTCCTGATCCAAGCCCTCAGTGCGATTAGTGTTCTTGAAACCTCTGGGTGCCAGATCCTCAAGCAGTATGTAATCTGATTTAGCGCCCTTCAGCTCATAGGCCTTGGCACCGAATTTCACCTCCACTCCGGCGTCTCGATAAATTTGTTCCAGCTCGGGCACAATCGTCTTGTACATGGCAAACTCAGTCGCAAATATATTGTTGCCCTCCATCATCTTTTTATAGACCTCCACTTGATGCGGCAGTTTGAGCATATAGGAAACTGATTTCTCCTTGCCATCTGTAATTGCTCTCCAGATGAGTTAGCATATATATAAGTGTACAATGAGCTCACCTACCCTCCAGTTCGACTTCTATATTCAAACGCAACATGATCGTCGCATAGTTTTCACCTGCTGCCGATCCGCTGTCGGCCTTAAAGCTCTTGATTTTTGAGAACCCCTTAACCGATTCTCTCAGAACATCCACCAAAAGTTCGGCCTGCACCCAGTCGGGCACATTGCTGGCTAAGGGAACGGGCTTTGATTCTGTCGCCATTTTCAGTTGATAATTAAACTATTAAATTTATGACAGAATCGTTGCGTTGCGCACTTGTGTTTCCTGTAGTTAACAGCACGTTTCTAATAATTGTCTAGCTTTTGCGCAGCGTTTATTTATACTACTCGCCGCCAGCCGTAAGCCTCAAATGTTGAAAACTTGCTATCTGAAATGAAAAATGAGCAGAGCGAAATTCCTAAAAAATAAAAAAAAAATATCAAAGCTTTCTGGCCCTCTCTATACACATATGATTACATTCAGAATTACGTTAAAGTTGTTCAGAATTTTCAGAGAGCTTCTCTATTGACTGTTTGTGTTCATGGGGCTCTCTGTGGCTGCTTCGTAGCTTAGATACTAGTTTGCGGTGCATTGACCTCAACGTTAAACATTTTTCATTTTACCATATTTAGTATTGGTTATATTGTGAATTATATATAGCTCTGATAATGAGTATGTATATATGAGTATGTGCCAAGCATGCTTCAACTTATTATTATTGTTTTCTACTATGAATTGTGCAATTCCACATCAGCTTTATATAAAAACTGTCTGTCTGACTGACTGACTGACTGATTGGTGACCATTGCACCGGCCAAATCGTATGTGAATAAATTAATTATAGTCACGTTATAGACTGAAGGTGCGCCCTAAGGCGTTGCTACCCATTATAAGATACTTTTCCAAAGATCTTTGTAATAATTTACATGAGAAATGTTTTTCTACAAATCTATCCTTTCTTGGTTTCGGGCTGATCAACTTGATTTCTAAGGATCATCAAGAAAATTCAAAATATAAAAAAGTATTCAATTATATAGGGTATTTGGGTACATCTGCTACCTAGACTCTCAGTCTTTCGCGCTAATAATCGAATTTTTTGATGTATTTGGGATACAAGATGGGATTTGACTGAAGCTATTTTTTAAAATACTTTTAAGTTTAAACAGAGATATTAAACCAATATTTAAAATCAATAATTTGTATTTGTTTTTTATGAACTAAAGTGTTTGTTCATGACTCGCACTTTATAGATAAGCACGTACTTTTATTAAGTGCCACACTACAAAAATTAATCATTTATTGAAAAAAAAATCCATGCATCTAACAGTATATATGTCTAATAGAAAAACAAATTTTGTAAAATAAAATGTTGGCGTAACTTTCTTAATAACACTTATGTTTTATCTAAGCTCAGTTTGAAGAGCACCGCGATTTTGTAGCCAAGGCAGGACAAGCTTTAAATGCTCTTTATATATCTTTCCAGAGTATAAGAGAGTTCTAAATTCCTCAGCCTCTGGCGTATTGGAAAATAAGTTATCAAAGCTTGCAGTTTGGGTGTCCTCCAATAAACTGCCAGCCATGACACCACACACCGTCCAATACCCTGTAAATAAGAGAACATTAGTAGACTACTAAGGGGTGTTTCAATTTGCTGAGTACCTACCCCAAATACCATTTTTTAGAAGTGACGTGTGTATGTCTATAAGACTTGGCAGTTTTTTGCTGTAATTCAATAGTTTCAGGTGCTTTATCAACTGATCATAATATTGTTTTATAAAATAATCGAATTTGTTTAATTTTAGCTCCAATTTCGGCGATGATAGCAGGAAATAAAGTAAGTCGAATGCAACGCTGCCATATTTACACATTTGATAGTCGACGAGATAAGAATCTAATAGTTTTCCCGTTGCTCTATCATAGAGGAACATTATGTTGCTCAGCCAGCAATCAGAGTGGTTCAACACATTGAACTCGTTTGGATCGACAGCGCCGACTTGTAGAATTTTTTGTGTAATGTGACCAGCCATATTTTTGATATCATCGTAGTAGGCCTCATGTCCCTCGATTGTTTTCAGGCACTTCAGAACGTAAGGTATCATATTATCAGTTAGTTTGCTTATGAAATCTTTGCCATCCTCATTAAAAACACTCTCGGACATCTGGGCAGGATAGGGTCCAATTGTGTCTACCCGAACAGCCGAAGCGGCATGCCATTGCGCGAGTTTTGTGAGCAGACATAGGGTATGCTCCTCATCCACACCTGCCTGGCGATTAGCCGATTGAAATCCTTTTGGTTTCAGATCCTCTAGTAGTACATGTTCGTGTGGTATGTCAAGTTTATAGCACTTGGCACCAAACTCAACCTGTAAGCCAACATTTCTATAAAGCTGCTTGAACTCCTGCACATATATCATGAACATATCCCGCTCCATATCGAATATGCTAAACTTGTTCTTCCCAAGGGTTTCCTGATATGAGTCCGAAACGTGCGGTATTTTCAGCATATACGATATTGATTTGCTTGTGTCATCTATATAGATTATATATGCATATCAATTTATTCAAAACTCTTATCAAATGTCTTCTATTCCCACTTACCTCTGAGTTCCACTTCGAGCTCAATGCGGAGCATAACCGTGGCATAATTATCACCAGGCTTTGTGCCCGGCATGGCTTTAAATGATTTTATTGCTTTGAAACCCTGAAATGTATCTTTAAGCAGCTGCTCAAAAAGTTCGGCCTTTAACCATTCGGGAAGTTTGACCTGAACATTATTTGTTGTGATTTGACTGTTCGATGACATTTTTAAGACTCTTCAAGCAAATGCAAGTCGGTTGTAGCCAGTGCGATTTTCGTGGAAGAACTGTGGCAGTAGAACAATTAACTGGTTTATATACAAACAATTCAAAAGAGCTTAAAGCTCCTGAAGCTTTTGTGTAACTGTCGGTATTTCACCATACATTTTTATGATCTATTAAGACGATAGAAATACTGAAAATCGTTCAATGCTTTTTGGGCGGTTCTATTTTGAGATCGAAGCTGAAATAGAAATGATATTGGCGGCTGATAGGATGTAACCCGTTTATTTTCAATATACAGTAATCATTTATATAAACAAAAACGATTGTTTGCACGCAAGTTCTGATAGGTAATATGTAAATTCTGTCGTTATCCTCTACTTATTTATACATTTTTTTGGATATTTTGTTTTTGTTTTTGATTGTATTCATATTTTATAATATTATATTTATCAAGAGTCAAAAGAACTAAATAATTCTAGCTTAACTGATTAGTAATTTTTCCTATACATTCCCAAACAATGCACTAAACTATATCTCCAAAGCGATTGAGTAGTCAAGGTATTACGACCTAAATCAGGTTCTTCAACTCATTGCTTATTTTGGAGTCGCTAAATTTTCTCAGCTTATCCTCGAATTTCGCGGAGGAGAGCCGGACGGGATACAAATCTTGAAAATCTTTTAAACATGCCCTCGACGATCTTGGGCTCTCTGAGGCGCTAGTAGAGAAGAGAAAATAATAAAATAATTCCAGTAATATAACTTAGATCTTAGATACCGCTTGCTCTATGTACTTCTCATTGCCTTCGTATGTAGCACAGCTCTTAACCAAAATTGCGTTACATTTGCTTGTTCATCAGTGCGCAGGTTTCTTCCTTGTAGAAACTGGTATTGAGCAGATCCGGATATAGTCCCTTGGTGGCCACACACGCACAGCGGAGGCGGCATGCCACTGAGCCAGCCTTTGCCGAGCTGCTTCCCAGTCCGTCTGAGCGATTCATATTTTGGTTGATAAATCCTCCAGCAGTATATAATCTGTCTTGGGATCCAGCTCAGAAATGTAGATATTATACATACTATGCTCCGCCTCAATGATATTGTTGATGATCAGACGCAACATGAGCGACGCCCAGTTTTCATCTGCTGCCGAGCCGCTCTCAGCTTTGAAGCTTTTGATTTCGGAGCATGTTTGACGGATTCTTTGAGCACATTCACAAATGAATGGGGCTGCATCCTATCCGACACTTTGTCTTTTCTGTACTATCAAAGAGCTCTTATTCGTTTTCTGACTTTCCAGCTCTCTATGCATGTTCCAGCATTGACGTACATTGATCTGTGTACACTTGTTAGCGTGATACGAAAAAAGCTTTTTGTAACAGATTGTGATTGTAGGTGCTTTAGATTTTGCAGCTTTCAATTAACCTTTTTTGCTCTCTCCCTCTCTTTCTACATCTATCTCCCCACCTCTCTCTCTCTCTCTCTCTCTCGTTTTTGCTGCTCTTTAGTTTTGCTCTTCAAAATTGTATGTGAAATAAACAAAATTGTAAGTTCTACAAAAAAGTTTTGATTGAACTAAAGCTCTCTCTTTCTCTCTGTCACTAGCTAGTCTCTGCGAATCAACGTAGCAAAACAAACTTGTTAAGCTTTATATGATTATATTATATGGTATGCAATAGTGAAATACAGTATGGAGTACTCATACGAAGAATTCGGAAAACACACAGTTTTCACCACAGTTTGGCTATTTATGATCAACCCAAACAAAAAATAGTTGCATAAGTTGGCTTCATGCTATATTTGTATATTTTTTTTAATTAAAATACAAATTTGTTGCATAAATTAAATTAATTGTGCCCCGCCCTTTAAATTAATTATTACTTTTATTGGTATAGAATATGTGCTTTGGATAAAAGGTCGATTCATAGTTGGACCCTTTGTGTATTCAGGTAATATAGCCTCTTTCCATTAGCCAGGGTAATATCAGTTTGATTTGCCTAACATAACTGGGATTCAAAAGCATTTTACGCTTAAAGTTCATAGCTGTTTCCGAGTCGCCCATGAAATTCGCAATGTTAGAATCCGGACTGGGGGGAAACAGAGTTACGGGCAGCATTCGCTGAGCGCATACAAATGCTAAAATTGTTAGAAAAATACCGAAAAAAAAAAAAAATGATGAAGTCAGCAGTCATGGCACTTTTGGATTCAAACAAAATATGTGCATTGAATTTAACAACCTACCCCATAGACTATTCTTGCGAAGATTCGTTTGCAATTCTGTCAATGTGGGCAGTTTCTTGGCATATTTTAACAGTTCCAGATGTGCTACAAGCTCTCGATGATAATACTCTACGAAATCATCGAATTTCTCCAATTTAATGTGAATATTTGGCGTTGTCATCAACAGACAGAACAAGTCGTGGGCGGGTGTCCCATATTTCGGCAATTGAAAGTCCACAAAACAAATGTCCTGTATTTTGCCCGAATTCAATTGGAAGAGAAAATTGTTGCACCTGAAATCTCCATGATTGAGCACATTGAATTCGGTGTTATTAATGCGCCCAAATTCCATATACAAGTCCGTCATGCGATCTGTGTAGTTGGTCTGAAATACATGAAGGAATTTTAGAAAATATATATATATATATTATAAGACGTATCTCTTCTTACTATCAACTGCTGTTGACCCGGCTCCAGATTGTACAGCTGCAGGCATTCCAAAAAGGGCACATTGAATGTTACATTTGCTTGCTCGATCCATTTGTAACACTCGGGCGAAATGTAGCTCTTTTGATACTTTTCTTCGTAGTCTCCCAGCTCGACAACTCTCTGGGCGGATGCAGCATGCCATTGAGCCAACTTTTTGAGGACTGCATTCATTTCCGTTTGACCCAGACCAAACATGCGCTCCAGATTTATATAGCCCTGCATGCGCAAATCCTCCATCAGTATGTAGTCGCAGTTTGGTGAGTTTTCGGTGAACTTCAGATGCGTTGGCTTAAACCTTATCGCCAGTTTTGTATGCCGGGCATAGAGCTCTTCCAGCTCGGGCACTAGACGCTCGTACATATCAACTTCCGTGATAAACAAGTCATGGAAATCGTGCTCATCGCCACGATCATTGACCAATGGTATTTTCAATATGTAACTCATATCTTTAGAGCTTTTATCTGCTAGGAAATATATAATATATAAGTCTGAGTTGCCTCTCTATATACATACATACATAAAATATATACATATATGTCACAGACCCACCTTTTAGTCGCATCACAATGCCAATGCGCAGCACAATTGTCAGATAGTTTTCCCCGCCGCTAATCGCGGCGGTGCACTCAAATTTTTGGATTGTGTCAAAATCATTATAATTTTGTTTAAGTAGACCACTAAAAAGATGCTGATTTACCCATTCCGGTGCACCGACAGACGACATTTGTTATTGTAATTCTTTTATTTGTTTGCTGCGATCAGGTATAGCGTTTCCTACGATCGGACTGCAACTGAGCGAAAGCTTCTCTGCTGAGCGTTAAATAGATATTACATCTTTAAAAAGCTCCAGAGAGATTCGTAAGCTGTTGTTACTGCTGCTCATAAATAATATTTAAATATTTATCAGCTGAATAACAAAATATTCTATTATTTTAATTTACGCATAGTAGTTAGCTGTGCGCATATTCCCTTATATTTTTAAAGAACTAGAGACCTACCCAAAAATGTTTAACTCTTTTGATTTAACGATGTAGTCTGCAATCATATTTGCCGAAAATAATAAGCAAGTGCACGTTATTGTAATCAGAAATTAATTTTTTATTTTCCTTGGGAAGAAGTGTCGTCTTTTTCACGCTTAAAAGTTAAATGGGATCAACCTAGAATAAATATATATGACTTGCAACTTTCTCAAGAGGATATGCCTTGAATTTGCGAGAAAATATTTTTTGAGAATTATTTTTTGTACATTACTTAATTTAATTAATTTAAACATTCAATGTTTTATTTGGTAATTTGTTCAGTTTTGGTTTAAATTTATTTAGCGCTTAACGCTATGCATGTAAACATGTCGCCTAAGCTTATCCGGTCGGGCAAAGTCCTTGGCACAGAACGTACACTGATAGGGCCGCTCACCCGTATGCTTGCGGCGATGCACCTTTAGTTCGTAATGCACTGTAAAGGACATGTCACAGAGATCGCATTTGAATGGCTTCTCGCCGTTATGACGACGCATGTGTATGTTCAGCTTGTTGGGCGTCAGAGATTCCAGGCCGCATAGTGAGCAGAGATACTTCTTGCCTGGATTCTTTTTAGCGACATGCATGTCGCGTATGTGCTTATCCAGGCTTGGCTGCACTACAAAGGAGCGCCAGCAGTGTGGACATTGATATCTGAAACGCCTACTTCGCTTAATCGTAACGGGCGCCTGATTGGATGATTTGGGATGTTGACTGGACATGTGCTGTTCCAGATTTTCAGGCCACATAAATTTGTACCCGCAGCGTGAGCACTTGAATTTCTTTTCCTGGTTGAGGCACTGCGTACGCAAATGCTGCTCCAGCATGGACTGCAAAAGCGGTAAAAATATTATCACTTTGCTTGTGACCCTGAACGGCATAAACTCACCTTGTCAACGGTCTTGTAAATACAATGCTCACAGGAATATGGCAGCTTGTCGAAGGTATGTAGGGAATACTGATGCTCGCTCATGTCGCGCCGTCGTTGAAAATTCATATCGCATAGAGCACATTTATATGATTTACCAGAGCCCGCGGAATCATCGTCGCTTTCATCCGTTTCATCTAGCAGCAACTCAAAGCCTTCTTCGGTGCTTATCATATAGTTTGAGGCCTGTTCACTGTGCGCCTGCATTGAGAAGTGCCGTCGCAGATCAGCAATGCTAACAAACTGCATGTCGCATAGTTTACAAATGATGGTCTTGGGTCCGGATGTCTTGGCAGCATCTGCCAGAAGAGTCTCTGCCAAGGGCAGATCCTCGCCGCTAAAGCCGTGACGCTGCACATGCTTGTGCAACAGCGCAGGGCGATAGAAGGTGCGTGTGCACCAGCGGCAGGGTAAAAGCTCGTTGCTGACATCATGATGCATTAGTTTGTGCTTGGTCACAGCGCTCTTATCCTGAAAGCTGCGCGAGCATTGATCACAGGGATATGTGTCTTGCTGTAATGTAAAATATTTATTTATGATTACACTCAACACATATAATATAAAAGAATAACCACCTTGTTTTTGTGCTCCACAAGATGCGCGCGTAAATTGCGCCGCCAGAAGAAGCGCTGTGGACACTTATCGCACATGAAGCGCTTTAGCGTATTTTGACAAAGTTTGAGCGTATGGTGATCTAGAAGCTTGGCGCTCAGGAAACGTGAATCACAACGCTGGCAAACATGCGGCGCCTCCAGCCACGTGTGCTCTTGTCTATGATGCTCGTGCAATTGATATTTGCGTGGCCACACAGCGGCGGGCGATTTACACAGCTCACAAGCATAACTGTGTCGCTCGACAACATCCGCCTCTCCATCGCTATCTGTGTCCGAGCTATCCAGATTCATCTCGTAGCGAGCCTCATTCGTTATGGAGTAGTAGCGTCCGTACACTCCCACCTTCAAATCATTGAAAATGCGCTGCTTTAGGCCAGCAACTGTGGATTCTACGGCCGTTTTGTAGAAGCCCTCGGCTATGCGCTCAATGGGCTCACCGTGAGCTTCGAATGTAAAGTCTTCGGGGTGCGCCTTTAAATGATCGCGCAGCTCACGAAGTTTGATAAATCTGCGCAGACAGATCATGCATTGAATCTCCTTTGAGCCGTTCGGCTTGCAGCGATGCAAATCAAAGCCTTTCACGCGTCGATCGATGCGGGAGGGCTTCAAAATGGCAGGTGTGTCTGCTGTATATCTGGAAGAAGTCGCTTCCTCTTCGTCTTCATCGGAAGCCTGGTACGTCTTGTGCTCGTTGTGCTTGTGCTTGATGAGACTTACAATGTATTTATAAGACTTGTCGCATTGATCGCATTTGTAGTAATTGTCTGCACTGGAGTTGTCGGTATCATCTTCATCGGGTATGCTATGAAAAGATGCAAATAACGAACCTTCATTACGGATAAAAATGGGATATAAACTTACTTGATCTCTTTAATGATGCTATGCACAAGAGAATCTGTGCTAGAGGGCTTCGAGTGCTGTCGCTGTGATCCTCTCGTCTGAAGCGTTTCTTCTGTACCTGAATTGCTACATCCAATTGGCTTAGGCTTCGCTGGCAGCTGGCTGGAAACGTGTGCCTTGCGCTTGTGCTTAATGAGCAGCATAATGTACTTGTAGGATTTGTCGCATTGATCACACTTGTAATAGCTATCGACTGTTTCATTTTCCAAGCTAAGAAAAAAAAGACAAATCTCAAACTTAGGTTTATTAAGATAAGCAGTGCTTACTCTTCCGCGCTGCTGCGTTCTGTCATGGAGCTCTTTATCAGGTTGTGTAGAAATGGTTCTGAGTTGTGAGTCTTTTCGTCTGCTTCCCGTGCTTTGGGTCGGCAGCGATTTGGACTATGATCCCTCTGCTTGTGTCTGAAGAGGTTTGTGACATATTTAAAGGACTTGTCGCACTTATTGCACTTGTGCAGCATTGGCAATTTTGTGTGTGCTGTCCGGCGTTGCTTGAGTGGCACATCATCGTCATCATCTTCATCTTCGGTATCATCATCCACAATTGTTTTCTTAATCAATGGATCAATAAGGTTGGTTGGGTCTGCTGACGTCGTGACAGGCTCTGAGGGCTCTTCCATTTTAATTGTAACGCCCTCTATATCCAGCAAATGTATAGGTGTCTCTTGCAGACACTCCAAAGTGGCTATTTCGGTAACATTCAAAGGAGATTCTCTTGACATCTTCTGAAGCCAAAGCTCATGAGTTTTACGCGCTTGCAGCACAAAGTCGTACGCATTCTCCAAACTGTGAGTACAGTTGCGACAAATCCAGGGCGGCAGCTTGTCAGCTTGATCCAATGCGACCTATAGAGCAACTTATTAAAATTGCTTGTCTTATCAGCTTTATGGGTTGGGGGTGGTGGCTTGGGGGTTACCTCAAGTTTAGTTAGCTCCAGCAGCAGTTGATTGTATGTTTTATCTGCGTATTTAATCAATGGCGTCTCAATCCAATAGCGCCCATCTCCGTTTCCGCAGATTCTGCACAATCTTGTCATCCTTAAACACGATTTTAATTGGCAATTGTATCAACAATTCCAATTTGCTCCGATGTCAATCAATTTGCCAAGTACACAAAATATTAATGGTTTTGGGTGTGGTCACACTGTTTAATAAACAGTTGTTGGCGGCACAGCTGTGCAAATGCTTATCGATAAGATGAGCTATCGATATTTCTATGTTCTGTCTCTTACATTTGCTTCGCGTTGTCATTTTACATACCGTAATGATTTCCATTTAAGAAAGTTATTTATAGGAGTCTTAAAAGCATGTTGCCGACGGATATTTGTCGCACATGCGCGCTACAAGATGACAGCTTGCTCCCGCTAGCAACGCGCACTAATAAATATGCAAATAAAAGTTTTAGTGACATATTGCACGAATTGACGCAGAATGATGTGAGTTAAAATATTAGCCAAAGGTCAAGAAATATATTTAAATATGTGCTTGTAGCCCTTGCAGGACCAAACGGATGATTGTCTGCCACAGTATTTGTGTGGCGAATGCCTGCACAAGCTTGAAGCTGCCTATGCATTTGTGCTGCAGGCGCGGCAGGCGCAGGAGCAACTGTTGTTGCAGCTGCGCAAAGGTTCGCTAAGGCAATGCTTGGAGGAGGTGCCCATAGACATTAGGATGCAGGACATTAAAAACGAGACGGACGTTGACATAGAATCGGAGCCAAACAAAAAAACCCAAAACGAGTCGCTACTGGAAGATGCGGGAGAGATTGAAGAACCGGAGATTGCTGCAGTGTCTGGCCCAGCTTTAAAGTGGCAGACGGAAAGCGATAGCGACAATACTAAGGCGGGTGTTGACGAGTAAGTTATTTGGCCGTTGCTCGGGCCTAATTTAAAACCTAAATTGCATTGTCTTACAGGCAGGACATGGACCTAAAGCCAAAGCAATTGAGGCGCAGCTTACGGAAAGCCAAACATGGTATAGTCAGCGAAAATGAAGCCTCGTAAGCAACAGCAAACATTTTAATATATGATAAGCTACTATAATTTGTATTCCAGTTTTGCTAATATGAAGAGCTTGACTGTCAATCGTCGTCGCGGACGTCCCGCGCGTCATCCCAAAAAAGGAAACATCAACGAGGAGGGCCGACATACGTGCGAGGTGTGCGGGAAAACATTTTCGTGGCACCGCGACATGGTACGCCATGCCCGCATACACTTCGAGCAGGCGGCCTACATGTGTGACAGCTGCGGCAAGAGTTTTTTGCGCAAGGACAAGTATATGTTTCATCTGCGTTCGCACGAGAAGCGTGCAGCCAAATGGCAGGCATTGCAGCTGAGTAGTGAATGGCGCTTTGCAGAACGCCTTTACAGCTCGGGCCGGCTCAAGCATGTAATCTGCAAGCTGTGCGGCTTGAAGTGCCAGCGAATTCGGGAATTACGCGATCATTTGGCGTGCCATGTCAGCATGGAAACATTGTCTACATTGAGCATGGAGAGTGATGTGGTCATAGAGCAGTTTGCCAACGAGCAGCAGCAATTAGACTTGGTACAGATCAAACAACAGGTGTGCGCTGACATTGCCAAGGGACGTGAGCTGCTGGACAGGTATTGCGCTGTGGTCAATGCGTATGGCTATGAGCTCTGTCTCAGCGACTCGGATGAGGAACTAGCTGACTTGACGCCACAGTACCAGTGTATGCCATGCAACACCACCTTTACGCGCAAGTATCGCCTCATGCGCCATACTCTGGAGGAGCACACGCATTCAGAAGCGGATGTACCCTGGCAACGTTGTAATGTTTGTCAAATTGGCTTTGTGTGCGCCAAGCTGCTGGAGCAGCATCAACGCACGCAGTGCCACAATAAACTTAAGCGTTATAGCTGCCCCAGTTGTCCAGGAAAATTCATTTGGAAGCAGAATTTGAAGCAGCATGCGTGCTCCCAAAGCAACGGGGTGCAAAATGAGCAACAGGAGCAGAAGATCGCCCACCAATTCCAATGTTGTCTCTGCGATGCCCAACTACACAGCATGGGAGGATTACGCGCTCATTTACTCACCCATCGCGATGGACGCAGCGGCATAGATCCGGATAAGCGGGCTGCCTTCTTTCGCACCTATTATCCCGATGGCTTAGCCTGCAGCTTGTTAGAGCTGAGTGCACGCATTGCCGGCGATTTTGAGGCAAAGGATTACGGACGCTACTTCAATGCCAGCACTAGCAGTGGGCAGGAGCTGGATTTCTTTGACTCGGAGACAGATTTGAGTGATGAGGAGCAGTTGAGCTCTGTCGCTGCGTTGCATATATGTTCACTGTGTGGCGAGACCACAATACGCCGGACCCAATTGCTTGAGCACCAGCAGCAGCAGCATAGTTCGGACAGGCTGCCGCATGCCTGCGAGAACTGCGACATGAGCTTTGTAGCCGATTCCTTACTGCAACGGCATCGCCAACGGATCTGTGACAAGCTGCATGCCAAGTATCATTGCCAGTTTTGTAGCCAGCGTTTCTACTGGCACTCCAACTATGAGCGGCATTTGAAGCTACAGCACGAGAAGGAGGATAAAACAGAGGTTACCGAAGAGCAGGAGCCCAGATTAAGAAGCAAGCGCCATCCAACAGCAGCCAAGCTGCAGTGTGGCGAGTGCGAAAAGGTATTTCAATTAGCTGAAAGATAATTCATTTATAAACTTATGCATTCTACAGGTCTTCATCTGGCCCAAGGATCTGACACGTCACAAGCGAATACATCAGCCGCAGGCGTTGGCTCAGTACGAATGCCCCCACTGTGAGCGCAAGTTCCATCGCAAGGATGGCCTCAAGTCGCATATGCGAGTGCACGGTGAACAGCAGCTGGACAGAACGATTGCCAGTGATCAACCATCGTCCGTGCTGCATCACATGCCGTTAGTGTTGACCCAACTTTGCCGGCCCAATGGTTGCAAGCAGATTCAGTGCATGATTTGCCTTTCGCAGCACACAAAGATCGCCGATCTGCGTGCGCATTTACTCAACCATCAGTTTGCGGTGATGTTTGCGGAGAATCGTGGTAAGTCGGAGAGCATTGAAAACATTTCACGTGCTCTATATCCAGAGCTTGCCACGCCGCTGGATCAGCAACAGCTAATCAGGCGTATTCAAAGCGATGTGGCCAAGGGCCTTGAACTGGAAAGATTCATATCCATTACCAACGAGGCGGGCATTGAGCTCAGCTTGGACAGTAGCGAGACTGAAACAGATTCTGACTCTGCCGAGGCAGTTAGAAGCAGCAAGGAGCGTCTCTACAGCTGTGAGCTGTGCCAGCTGAAGGTGCAGCGTAAACATCAGCTCTACGCCCATCAATTGGAGCAGCATACGTGGCAGGAGGCGACGCGTGTTTGCACCCATTGCCAGGCCAGATTTGTGAATGAGCAGCTGCTGGAGCATCATTATCGCACGCTCTGCCGAAACGCGCAGCGGCGTTTTCTATGTCGCAAATGCCCAATGCGCTTTCGCTGGCGCGAGAATCTGAAGCTGCACATGGACGTAGCGCACCAAGAAGCAAGTGAAGAGCATTTGAAATTGGGCATTCAGTTGAACGGGACACATCTGCTGCCTATTGTTAGCTACGACTGCACCGAATGCAATCGCAGCTTTAAAATGCAAAAGGATCTCACCAGGCACACCCTTATGCATGCTCAAGATTCGAGCATTTACCGTTGTCGCTGGTGTGCTCGGCGTTTCTATCGCCTGGCCAATCTTCTGCAGCATATCGAACGTCACGGCATTAGCGCCGAGCAGCTGCCTTATGCGGAGGCACTGCTCAATGCCAGCCGGCATCCGCATGGCCAGAAGTGCATCCAGTGCAAGGTGTGTAATATATCCTACCCCACAATTGCCGCACTGCGCGCCCATCTGCAATCTGCACCAGGAGGCACACATCATGGACTTGACTCGATGCTCAACTACTCTATAACCAATCAGCAGGGATACGAGCTGCAGCTGGATGACTCGGAAACAGATGAGGAGGCCAAGCCGCCGGGCACACCCACACACTACACCTGCAGTATGTGCCAACTGCGCTGTGTGCGCAAGTTTGAGCTGCATCAGCATCAGCAGGCCATGCATCGACTGGAGCGCATAAGCGAGGGTTGCGATCTTTGCATATTTAAAAGTGTCTCTCCTGATCTTATTAACTATCATCGTCGTGTGCTGTGTGACAACACAGAGAAAAAGTTCAAGTGCATCAAGTGCGGCTACAAGTTTATGTGGGAGGCGAATCTGCTGCAGCACGTGAAGCTGCAGCACCCCAGTAGCGAGCTACAGCAGGAAGTGACTGCCATGCTTGAAACGGAAACTTCCAGTACTGAGTGCCAGATCTTTCAGTGCGGTCAGTGTCCTAGTAAATACAATCGCAAGGATCGGCTCACAGCACACATAAAAAAATATCATTCAGCAGAAACTAGCTCCAAGGCTGCCACAACAAAGGCTGCAACAGGCGCCAAGCAGCAGAAAAGTTTTCTCTGTGCCTTTTGCGGCAAGGCGGTTAGTTCCTCATCCAATCTGATCATACACATACGTCGGCATACCGGCGAGAAGCCTTTCAAGTGCGACTACTGCGACATGGCGTTTCCACGGTCGTCCGATCTGCAATGCCATCGACGCACCCATACAGGCGAGCGGCCGCATGTCTGCACCGTTTGTCAGAAGGGCTTCGCGCGCTCCTACAAGCTGCAGCAGCACATGCGCATCCACAATGGCGAACGCCCCTACAAGTGTACTTATTGTGATAAGAGCTTCACCCAGTCGAATGACCTGACTCTGCACATACGGCGGCACACGGGCGAGCGTCCCTATCAGTGCAACACGTGCGGCGAGCGTTTTATTCAGGGCACAGCGCTCAAAAATCATCGACTACAGAATGGACACTACGAGACGGAAGCAGACCAAGTTAAAGATGTCTAAATAAGACTACGACTCTTGATTAATAGTATAAGAGTTAATAGATTAACGTTCAAGGCAATTAAAAATTTCGCATTGACAATCATTAAATAATAAACATTTTGTCCATTTGGGTCAACATTTTGGATTTCCTTTTTTTGCAACATTTTTTTAATTTGCTTGAATGTCAATTGATGGTAGGGATCCGTACGCATTCAAAAAGATATAACATTTTACAATCAGACATTATTTACCCGAGATATTAAAAAATATCATCGAAAAAGTTTCGATTTTCGCACCGACCTCTATTTTGAAAAAAGGCGGGAGATATGTCGTTTCAAAACGACATAACTCCGCCGTTGATAAGGGCGAGATTATGTCGGTTTGAAGCCACATACATAACTCCGCCGCTGTAAAACGACATACATTTCTTCGCGCAGGGTTACCCTTCCTTTTTAGTCGATTTGGGTCAAAATTTAGATTTTAATATTTTTGATGCCAATCGATATTACTGATCGTTACGAGTCGAAAATGGTATAAAATAACAAAATCGAACATTATTTGGCCCAGATATTCAAAAAAATCATCAAAAAAGGTTGATTTTACGAACGATTCGGTTTTTTGTCTACAACATATTTTTAACAAAACGATGTTGAATTTGCTTGAATGCCAATTGATGGTAGGGATCCGTACGCATTCAAAAAGATATAACATTTTAAAATCAGACATTATTTACCAGAGATATTAAAAAATATCATCGAAAAAGTTTCGATTTTCGCACCGACCTCTATTTTGAAAAATGCGGGAGATATGTCGTTTCAAAACGACATAACTCCGCCGTTGATAATGGCGAGAATTTGTCGGTTTGAAGCCACATACATAGCTCCGCCGCTGTAAAACGACATACATTTCTTCGCGCAGGGTTACCCTTACTTTTTAGTCGATTTGGGTCAAAATTTAGATTTTAATATTTTTGATGCCAATCGATATTACTGATCGTTACGAGTCGAAAATGGTATAAAATAACAAAATCGAACATTATTTGGCCCAGATATTCAAAAAAATCATCAAAAAAGGTTGATTTTACGAACGAATCGGTTTTTTGTCTACAACACTTTTTTAACAAAACGATGTTGAATTTGCTTGAATGCCAATTGATGGTAGGGATCCGTACGCATTCAAAAAGATATAACATTTTAAAATCAGACATTATTTACCCGAGATATTAAAAAATATCATCGAAAAAGTTTCGATTTTAGCACCGACCTCTATTTTGAAAAAAGCGGGAGATATGTCGTTTCAAAACGACATAACTCCGCCGTTGATAATGGCGAGATTATGTCGGTTTGAAGCCACATACATAGCTCCGCCGCTGTAAAACGACATACATTTCTTCGCGCAGGGTTCCCCTTGCTTTTTAGTCGATTTGGGTCAAAATTTAGATTATAATATTTTTGATGCCAATCGATATAACTGATCGTTACGAGTCGAAAATAGTATAAAATAACAAAAACGAACATTATTTGGCCCAGATATTCAAAAAAATCATCAAAATAGGTTGATTTTACGAACGAATCGGTTTTTTGTCTACAACATTTTTTTAACAAAACGATGTTGAATTTGCTTGAATGCCAATTGATGGTGGGGATCCGTACGCATTCAAACAGGTATAACATTTTAAAATCAGACATTATTTACCCGAGATATTAAAAAATATCATAGAAAAAGTTTCGATTTTCGCACCGACCTCTATTTTGAAAAAAGCGGGAGATATGTCGTTTCAAAACGACATAACTCCGCCGTTGATAATGGCGAGAATTTGTCGGTTTGAAGCCACATACATAGCTCCGCCGCTGTAAAACGACATACATTTCTTCGCGCAGGGTTAACCTTCCTTTTTAGTCGATTTGGCTCAAAATTTAGATTTTAATGTTTTTGATGCCAATCGATATTACTGATCGTTACGAGTCGAAAATGGTATAAAATAACAAAATCGAACATTATTTGGCCCAGATATTCAAAAAAAATCATCAAAAAAGGTTGATTTTACGAACGAATCGGTTTTTTGTCAACATTTTTTTAACAAAACGATGTTGAATTTGCTTGAATGCCAATTGATGGTAGGGATCCGTACGCATTCAAAAAGATATAACATTTTAAAATCAGACATTATTTACCCGAGATATTAAAAAATATCATCGAAAAAGTTTCGATTTTCGCACCGACCTCTATTTTGAAAAAAGCGGGAGATATGTCGTTTCAAAACGACATAACTCCGCCGTTGATAATGGCGAGATTATGTCGGTTTAAAGCCACATACATAGCTCCGCCGCTGTAAAACGACATACATTTCTTCGCGCAGGGTTCCCCTTGCTTTTTAGTCGATTTGGGTCAAAATTTAGATTTTGATATTTTTGATGCCAATCGATATTACAGATCGTTACGAGTCGAAAATGGTATAAATTAACTAAATCGAACATTATTTGGCCAAGATATTCAAAAAATCATCAAAAAAGGTTGACTTTACGAACGAATCGGTTTTTTGTCTACAACATTTTTTTAACAAAACTATTTTGAATTTGCTTGAATGCCAATTGATGGTGGGGATCCGTACGCATTCAAACAGGTATAACATTTTAAAATCAGACATTATTTACCCGAGATATTCAAAAATATCATAGAAAAAGTTTCGATTTTCGCACCGACCTCTATTTTGAAAAAAAGCGGGAGATATGTCGTTTCAAAACGACATAACTCCGCCGTTGATAATGGCGAGAATTTGTCGGTTTGAAGCCACATACATAGCTCCGCCGCTGTAAAACGACATACATTGCTTCGCGCAGGGTTACCCTTCCTTTTTAGTCGATTTGGCTCAAAATTTAGATTTTAATGTTTTTGATGCCAATCGATATTACTGATCGTTACGAGTCGAAAATGGTATAAAATAACAAAATCAAACATTATTTGGCCAAGATATTCAAAAAAATCATCAAAAAAGGTTGACTTTACGAACGAATCGGTTTTTTGTCTACAACATTTTTTTAACAAAACTATGTTGAATTTGCTTGAATGCCAATTTATGGTAGGGATCCGTACGCATTCAAAAAGATATAACATTTTAAAATCAGACATTATTTACCCGAGATATTAAAAAATATCATCGAAAAAGTTTCGATTTTCGCACCGACCGACCTCTATTTTGAAAAAAGCGGGAGATATGTCGTTTCAAAACGACATAACTCCGCCGTTGATAATGGCGAGAATTTGTCGGTTTGAAGCCACATACATAGCTCCGCCGCTGTAAAACGACATACATTTCTTCGCGCAGGGTTACCCTTCCTTTTTAGTCGATTTGGGTCAAAATTTAGATTTTGATATTTTTGATGCCAATCGATATTACTGATCGTTACGAGTCGAAAATGGTATAAAATAACAAAATCGAACATTATTTGGCCCAGATTTTTTTAAAAAAATCATCAAAAAAGGTTGACTTTTCGAACGAATCGGTTTTTTGTCTACAACATGTTTTTAACAAAACGATGTTGAATTTGCTTGAATGCCAATTGATGGTAGGGATCCGTACGCATTAAAAATCAGACATTATTTACCCGAGATATTAAAAAATATCATAGAAAAAGTTTCGATTTTCGCACCGACCTTTATTTTGAAAAAAGCGGGAGATATGTCGTTTCAAAACGACATAACTCCGCCGTTGATAATGGCAAGATTATGTTGGTTTGAAGCCACATACATAGCTCCGCCGCTGTAAAACGACATACATTTCTTCGCGCAGGGTTACCTTTGCTTTTTAGTCGATTTGGGTCAAAATTTAGATTTTAATATTTTTGATGCCAATCGAAATTACTGATCGTTACGAGTCGAAAATGGTATAAAATAACAAAATCGAACATTATTTGGCCCAGATATTCAAAAAATCAACAAAAAAGGTTGACTTTACGAACGAATCGGTTTTTTGTCTACAACATTTTTTTAACAAAACGATGTTGAATTTGCTTGAATGCCAATTGATGGTAGGGATCCGTACGCATTCAAAAAGATATAACATTTTAAAATCAGACATTATTTACCAGAGATATTAAAAAATATCATCGAAAAAGTTTCGATTTTCGCACCGACCTCTATTTTGAAAAAAACGGGAGATATGTCGTTTCAAAACGACATAACTCCACCGTTGATAATGGCGAGATTATGTCGGTTTGAAGCCACATACATAGCTCCGCCGCTGTAAAACGACATACATTTCTTCGCGCAGGGTTACCTTTGCTTTTTAGTCGATTTGGGTCAAAATTTAGATTTTAATATTTTTGATGCCAATCGAAATTACTGATCGTTACGAGTCGAAAATGGTATAAAATAACAAAATCGAACATTATTTGGCCCAGATATTCAAAAAATCAACAAAAAAGGTTGACTTTACGAACGAATCGGTTTTTTGTCTACAACATTTTTTTAACAAAACGATGTTGAATTTGCTTGAATGCCAATTGATGGTAGGGATCCGTACGCATTCAAAAAGATATAACATTTTAAAATCAGACATTATTTTCCCGAGATATTAAAAAATATCATCGAAAAAGTTTCGATTTTCGCACCGACCTCTATTTTGAAAAAAGCGGGAGATATGTAGTTTCAAAACGACATAAAAAAAATCATCAAAAAAGGTTGACTTTACGAACGAATCGGTTTTTTGTCTACAACATTTTTTTAACAAAACGATGTTGAATTTGCTTGAATGCCATGGTACATGAAGTAAAATGAAATTGTGACAGCCTGAATTTCAAATTGAACTGCCCACCGATATTACTTTTAAAATATATCGATTAATGGCCACTGCAAAATTGACCATCGCTTCAATCGATAAAGTCGTCAATTATCAGCGATAGTATCGTTGAATTAAAGCAAAGTACCGTTGTTATGGTTACATTCATAAAAACTAAGCAAGCGTTTTATTATTGGCCTGACAAAATCCAACAAACTGTCGCACGATAAACAACAATTGGCCAAGGAAATATTATATTTTAAATAAAATTATTGATCCGCAGCAAACACACAGATATAACTTAAATTCTAATCAAGCTGAGTGCAAAGTTACCGTATTATTTTAGGTTTCAAATTATTTAGTTAGTT